GAAGCCTCGATCAACGCGGGTGGAATGGACATCGGAGTCTTTGGAGCCTCGACGAAGGTATCTCAAAGTACTGCCGATGGTTTGATTGGACTACTCGGTGGTATACTGAAGGATCTGTAAGGGTCGATGGGAGCATTAGATCTCGTTTATCCAGATTCCATGTGTCATTTGATACTTGTAGATTTGCTGTTCTTACTGTTTGACTGTTATTTGTCACAGGAGTCATCGGGGTTTGTTATGTTTTACTTGAGGACTTACTCGCATCATGTTGTTCTGTGCAATTGTTAGAAACTCCAAGATTTTTCTTTTCCACCTACGAGCGTGCCTTACCAGGACGCGACAGCTTCATCTCCAATGCCAAGCCATGTCGTCGTGATCGCAATACTTGACGTACTACCGCAATACGTTGCACCCAAGCTGTCATTTAATCAACGCATCATGGATCACTTCGGCATGGACCGAACCGTCCAGCTGAGTGGCCGAGCCTGCCCGCGACACGTCGAACTGCCTTCTCGAAGGAGATGGGGTTCACACCAATAGCGAATGCCCAAGCATCTTGGCGACTGTTGGCTAATGGCTTGGTTCCGCGTTAGTCGACTAGCAGTCTACGAATCTTGTACTCCGTAGCCTTCTTCAAGCAGAAAGTGCCATTAGCCGTCTTAACCCCGATTGATGCGCTGACAGCCTGCCATTCTCCTCCATCCACTTGCCCAAGTCAGGTAGCCGAAAGTTGCCTCACCGCGCAAATGCGTGAATAAGGAATTTGGGGGTTGAGAACTTGAGCGGTGGTCCATGCAAGGCACGCCCGGATATGAAGACCAGATCGATAAGGTCGTCCCATTGCACTAACGGAGCGATCCCCGAACAGGAAGGTCTGCGGCTAATGCTGACAGGGAATACAGGCATCATCTGCCGAGACCATCACGCGGACCGGGGGGGGGAGAGTTGGCCCATTGGAGTCCGTTAAGTTTGGGATTGGACGCTGTAGCAAATGGTAGGTCTGAAGGATTGAGAAAGTCGAGTCTATTGATAATCGATATTTCGTATGTATCGCGTACCCAAAAATACTAAGGATTGGACTAGAATGGCGAAACACCTCAGCCGGCGGGATGATCACTTCATCTGCCCGATTTCCTATTCCCGTATCCGCCCGCTTGCAGCGAGCTCTGGCCATGTGCTCCTCTATCAAGAAAGTGGCACGGGCAAAGAGTCAAGCTTTCAGATTACTACCTCCTCTATTCGTAGTGATCATTCTGGCGAATGGGCGCTTATTGACCCCTCGCGACGAACAAGTTCTTTTGTTATCCGTACAGCATGCCAATTTGTTGCAATGTATTTTGTCTGCCTTGCGATCCCGACCTTCTGCGTTGAGATGCAGAATTGACCAGAGTTGGCAGCTGAGGTCTTGTCATGACAACATAATTGTTCGATTGCTGACAGGCCCGGGATCAGGTTCTCCCTCCTCCCCCACTCATCAAAAGTCCATCAAGCGTTAGTTATTTTGGTCATGGCGAGTGACTCGGAGAGTCGGGGTGAAGTCGCTTGCCCCTCAATCCATTCCCAATCTCACCTACCTACGCTAGGCGTTACATCAACGGCGGTTCCTGAAAAAGGGCGGCACTGAGTCTGACTCGGCCAGACAAAAGGACCATGATTACGGATAGTTTCCTGGAGAATATCTGCTAGCGGCGCAGATTGAACTGCAGTTTAAGGTATCGATCCCGCTGCGGGCTCTGCGGGGCCTTTCTCCGAGATGATTTGCAGAGTTTATTTGTTACGTGATCGAGCTCTTTGCGCTCACGGCGCTTGTGAGAGGAACGCGATGAGGGAAGCTCCCCCGCGGTGCAACGCTGTGCATGACCACAAGTCGGTTTATGCTTAAGCTTTCTTTTTTATCCTTCAGTTAATTTGACGTCCATCTCTGAGCCGCATTCATTGTACGTTGGAGAAGAAGCTTACTAACCACCTTCCAATGACGAATAGTTCATCCAATATCTTTGGACCCTTGAAGTTCGGTCTTGTCTGCGCCGTTACACGTTTCTAGAGCGGTGGCGCTCTTCACTTGCAGAGAGCATGGAGAAATTCAACCCGAACACCTGCTGCCCAGTGCCGAGTCCCCCATATCGCCAAGAAACAACTGCAAGCTAAGTTGTCGCCAAGACGCCAACGGCGCAAATGAAGCATTAATGTAACCCTCCCGCTGCCCAGTCTCAAGGATGGTAAGAAAACGACCTTCCCTCTTCTCTCATACAGAGATCCGATAAACGCGAGCTTTGGCATTGGAGTTGCGGCCCCTGGGCCACTGGCGGATCACGCAAGCATATCGAGTCGCGCTCGCCATCTTTCGTGGACCCCGTATCGCCAACAACCTCCCGGATAGAGCTCCAATTGTCTTGCGGAGTAATCTTTTTGACCAAGGGCTAGCGATCATGAAGCCCCATATCGTATCCTGCCTGGTCTGACTGCTTGATTGCAACTCAGCCTCTGCAGCAAGGCACTCGGTAACATGCAATTCCGAAGAGGAAGCTCCTTGGCTGCGTTGAGGGGCACAAGTGGATAGTCGGAGTCCGGCCCCTTCGAGTCTAACGGTAGCTCCTCCGGTGCCTCAAACATCACGAGATACTTAAATCGATCATGGTTCGCTCGATTTTTGATGTTTTGAAAGGAGCTCGTTAGGCACTCTCAAGTCCCCAGCCCCTCGTTCCCTCCTCTCCCGCACCTCTCTCAGCCTTCGACCGCCCGCCATGTATCGCTCCATGAAGAGCCTGGCCCTCATCGGCCTCCTGGGCCCGACCTCACAGGTCTTTGCCCATCCGGCCACCAGTCACAACATCGGCCGCCGCGGCGTCGATATCGAGGCCTTCCGTCTTCCCCAGCTTGGCTCTTACACCAACGCTACCCAGACGGAGGCGACCCCGCCCATTGCGCTCCTGAAGCGTGCCAACTACGTCGACACCGCCACCGAGCTCGTCAAGAAGCTTGCGCCCAACGCTGAGTTCCGTGTTGTTGGTGACAACTATGTTGGTACCAACGGCATCGGCCACGTCAACTTCAAGCAGACTGTTCACGGTCTTGACATCGACAACGCCGACTTCAACGTCAACGTATGACAGACCCGCTGCTTGTTCCTCGAATCGCTTTTTGGTATTATTATACTGACATTTACAATCTAGATTGGCAAGGATGGAAAGGTCTTCTCTTATGGCAACAACTTCTTCAAGGGTGACCTCCCCGAGGCCAGCCCTCTGACGAAGCGTGACTTCAAGGACCCCGTTGCCGCTCTCAACGGTGCTAAGGATGTCCTCCAGCTCCCTGTCGAGGCTGCTTCTGCCACCGCCGAGGCTAAGGAGGGCACTGAGGTTTATGCCATTAAGGGAACCTCTGGTGCTGTTTCCGACCCCGAGGCCAAGCTTGTCTACTTCATCCAGGCTGACGGCACTCTGTCCCTCTCTTGGCGTGTCGAGACCGACATCTCTGAGAACTGGCTGTTGACCTATGTCGATGCCGCCACCGGTTCCAAGGTCCAGGGTGTTGTCGACTACGTCTCCGACCTTGCCAACTACCGCGTCTACCCGTGGGGTGTCAACGATCCCACCGAGGGCGACCGTGTCCTGGTCACCGACCCCTGGGATCTCTCTGCCTCGCCTTTGACCTGGCACAGCGACGGCTCTGCCAACTACACCACCACCCGTGGCAACAACGGCATTGCTCAGTCCAACCCCAGCGGCGGCACTGCTTACCTTACCAACTACCGCCCGACCAGCACCTCGTACAACTTCGACTACGAGTACTCCACCAGCCTGACCACCCCCTCCGCCTACATCGATGCCTCCATCGCCCAGCTCTACTACACTGCCAACCACTACCACGACCTGCTGTACACTCTCGGCTTCACCGAGGCCGCCGGTAACTTCCAGATCAACAACCAGGGCAAGGGCGGTGCCGGCAACGACTTTGTCGTCCTCTTCGCCCAGGACGGCTCCGGAACTAACAATGCCAACTTCCTCACTCCCCCCGATGGCACCAACGGCCGCATGCGCATGTACCTCTGGACCCAGTCGACTCCCCGCCGCGACTGCAGCTTCGAGGCCGGCGTCGTCATCCACGAGTACACCCACGGTCTGTCCACTCGCTTGACCGGTGGACCCGCCAACTCCAACTGCCTGAACGCCGTCGAGTCCGGTGGTATGGGTGAGGGCTGGGGTGACTTCTTCGCCACAGCCATCCGTCTCAAGCCCACCGACACCCGTGCTACCGACTACGCCATGGGCGCCTGGGTCTACAACAACCCCGCCGGTATCCGTACCGTTCTCTACTCCACCTCCATGACCACCACTCCCAACACCTACTCCACCATCAACGGCCTCACCAGCGTCCACCGCATCGGTGAGACCTGGGCCACCACTCTCTACGAGGTCCTCTGGAACCTCATCGACAAGCACGGCAAGAACGACGGCCCCAAGCCCGAGTTCGACGCCAACGGTGTCCCCACCGATGGCAAATACTTGACCCTGAAGCTCGTCCTCGACGGCATGGCCCTGTATGTATCCCCATTATTGCTACTCCTTTCAGGCAATAGACTAACAATACCAGGCAACCCTGCTCTCCCAACTTCATCCAGGCTCGTGACGCCATCCTCGACGCCGACAAGGCTCTCACCGGTGGATCCAACCTGTGCGAGCTCTGGACCGCCTTCGCGAAGCGTGGTCTGGGCTCCGATGCTGTCTACAGCTCTTCTGCCCGCCGCGATGGTTTCACCATCCCCACTGGCGTTTGCTAGAGGGAGAATCATGTTCAAATTTGATAGCGTAGATACCAGAATTAGTGTAATGTGTAACGAGACTAAACTCAAAATCTCCAAAGCAACGACCAGCGTGAAATTGAGCAAGCACTATGAAACAAGATTCCCCCCTTCCTCATGATATTTGTCCTACTCTTCTTCCCACCCATCTTATACTTTCTCTTCCTACTCGTCCCTCCTTAATTTATTCCTCTTCCTCCTAATTATTCTTCTCGTCAGCCTCGGCTATCTTTTCTACATAGGGCCCGTATCTGGCATCCACCGTTGCTTTCCACGCCTCCAATGTAACAAACTCTCCGCCAACCCTAATATGACCAATAGGAATCTCTTCGATCGAGGCTCGACTGCACGGAGGCAGTTGGAAAAACTTGTGGTCCTTCCCGCATGTTATGTCCCTGACCCCATTGGTCTCAATATCCGCATAGCATGAGCTGCAGAGGCTAGGGCCAACGATGCAAGTTGTACAGAGCCAGATCCCGGTGGGAATATTGGTATTGAACCCGCACTGCTCAGAGCAGAGGAAAATCGAGGTATCAAGCATCTCCGGCACATCGAGCCAGGGCTTGATTTCGGACTCCTTCATTTCGTCTGACAGCTCCTTTTTTGTCGCTTCTCCGGGCTCTTTCTCTTCTCCTTCCACTGCCGTTTCTTCTGTGCTGTCCTTCGGGCTCTCTTTCTTCGGACCCTTGCTCATCTGATGGGTCTTCGGCACTTCGATGGCGATTCTCTTTGCAGCGGCTGCATCCTCTATACGGATCTGTCGCTCCTCTTGCTTGCGCCGTTCTTCCATCTTGCGCTCATACTCTGCTTGTTCAGCAAATCTTGACACAGCCATCATCTCCCAGCATGCGACTACGCTAGCCTCATCCATGAACGCGATGAACAAGAGAGCCAGATCGCGGAACGAATCGTAATCATTACTGACATCTTCATCGGACAGCATCTCGAGTCTTTGGGCTGTGAAAATGGCAACATGGTCTCTGGCACGGTCTTGCTCTCCATTTAGGTGGAAGAATCGGGCTAGCTGGAACAGGCAGAGATCGGGTGTTGCGATACCTTCATAAAGGCCTTTCAGCAAACCCTCCGTCTTGTTGGCGTAGACGTTCCTCGTATCGGCGGTGGTATTTTCGGCGAAAGCTCTGTTGTTGTAGGCGACTAGAAGTGTAGAAGCAATGTCAAATTGCATGAATGGCACTCGCTCGGTAAGACAGTTCTCCTTGAAAATGCCCTCTAACATCATCACACCTTCATCCTCGTGGCCAGGCCGGCGAAACAAACTGATGGCATACCACATGTTTGTGTAGTTATTCCAGTACAGGTCTCTTTCTTGGTCACTGAACTTTTTGTTGGTCCCTCTCCACATCTCCGCGAGCAAATCCCAACGATCGGTACGATAGCATGCGTTCCACATCGCGTACCAGAACTCCCGAGCATTGTAGGCAGATCCGTCGCCGAGGATTTTGCTGCCCAGATTCATGCCACCGAATGTGAATGAGTGAAGTTTCTCGCAGAACTCGATAATGAGGTTCCATTCCCTGCGTTGTCCAAGCTTGTTCGCAATGAATTGGCGGTAGCTCCCGGCTGCAGGGTCCTGAATTTGGTCCAAGGCCTGCAGGTAACTGTGGAATGCCTTTTTTGTACCGGCATTTTCGGGCATATTCCAATAACGATCGCCCAAGGTCTCAAGAACACCCGCAAATGACTCCCGATCGTGCTGGTTGAGTGTGCCGGGAGGACGATTAGACACTTTCTCAACGATGCTTTCGAGAACCGAGATCGCCTCGGCGTCACGATCTTCGTCGAACGAGCGGGTCAGATTATAAGCAGCGAACCAATCATCAGGATTAAGTTCGACTGCTCTCCGGGCTCTCTTCTCGCACTCATATTTCGCCATGTCGATGTAGTATAGCAACCTCGCCATTTGCGCCTCCCAGTGTGCATCATTCTCGACAACGCCAAGTTCTTTCTTCGCCCATGTCTCGACAGTGTCGAATTCGGTCATAGTAGGCCGGAAAACTTCGTCGTCGTCGATTTCGGACTGAGTGACAGCCGTGGGGTTCTTTTCGTGTTGTTCCAACTGCAAAAGTTAGCGTTCTCGTTCCTCGATGACGTCTGACTCGAGATCTCTGATAAGGTCAAGAGTTCTTACCCGTTTAACAAGTCCGAAAAGCAAACTAAACACATCTGCCATAGAGTTTTGATAATGAGTCACCTCCAGTAACTCTTTGACGATCACTCTTGCTGCCAATTCGTACCAGCTCGTCCCACCAATGCCATTGAAACTCTCCAGCGTGTTCGGTGCATCCTCTCGGTCACGAAGCTTTGACATAACCATTGAGTCGTCAGACCACTTGCTCATGAGATTTGCGCCCCTGTTTGAGAAAATCCAAGTTCTCCAGTTCCCGGGCATTAAAACATCGCTTATCACGCACAGCGCATCCATATCAGGGCCATAGTCTCTTGCAAGCAGAGTTTTGATAGCAGATTCCTCCTTGAACAGGCGGGCCAAAAGCATTCCGGCTTCCGCTTTGAGATCGCGGTCAGCTCGAGAGAGGTCAGTCTCTTCTAAGTGATCGAACAGCCAATCTCTTGCATAGGTTCGGAACTTGACTGCTCCAGGTGTCAGGTTAGTCTGTCCACCCAGTATGCCGTGCAGACACCTCATCGCGAGGATAAGATGAGCGTTATCGGGGTCCTGGCTGATGTACTTGGTCTTGCGTTCTAGTTTCTGAGCAAAAAACTCTTCAAACCCAAATTTGTCGTAGACATCTGATGGGCAAACCGTTGATAGGTAATGCTTGACGATTTTGATCTCCGCCGGCGAAATCTGCTCTTCGCTGCCGTAGTCTGCGCCACTTGACTGACACCTCTTCACAGGTATGATATCGCCTATCTCTTCCGCACTGAAGGAGATGTCCCGATTTTCTTCAATCTTGAAAAGTAGAGAATGCTTTTCACGAATCTTAGACTCCAAAGATCGAAGCGAGACCTGACTGGATGACTCCAAATTCGTGTTCAATCGTATGGCAGCTTCCAATTGTAGAGGAGACATCCATCTTCTTGCCCATTTTACCCATGTAATGATTTCATTGACTTCATCAATCTCAGCTGACTTGAGCGTCAGGTTGAGCTTTTTGATGTCGGCAAGAATCTGCTTGGGTCTGGCGCTGCCAACTTCGTTCAGGCATTGCTCAATCTCGGACAAAGAGTCGACACCCTCAATGGTGCTTAGTGCAGAGTTCGTAATATAATAGTCGCCGGAGGTAGCAAATGTGAGCTTCGACAGAATCATCGTTCGAGTCTCGGCAACACCAGCCCTACTGGCGTCATTCAAAGTTTCCATTGCGTCCATTCTGGCTATGATGTATAGCTCAATGTCAATAGAGTTCCGGAAGCCTAGTTTCATTCTGGTGATCCTCATGTCTCCCGCTTCTTCAAGCACGTCAAACGTATGTTGGTTGCCCGTAATAATCACACGCGTGCGTAAACGAGGTGCGTCTGCCGAAATTCTCTGCAAAAGACCAGCGAGCCCATCGATATTGTCGCCAAGCCCGTCTATGACGATGAAGAACGTGCTCTCAATGCCCAGGCGGTCTTCGTTATCCAGCAATAGTTTGTTCCAGATGTCCGATGGATCCTCAGTGTTCACCTTGTCGCATATGCCAGCAATGGACTTGAGGTACGGAAGCTCCATCTGAGCTAACTGCCATAGGACACTTTTCGACACCATTTCGGCGACATGCTTCTTTTTGAATGTGGCCTTGGAGTTATCCTTGGGATCTTCTTCGAGAAAGTAGTACGCAATTGCCGATCTGCTCTTCGAATTCCTCGACTGTCTATATTTCTGTAGTCGGCTGATGATGTGAGTTGCCAGAAGGGTTTTCCCAGAGCCTTCCCCACCCTCAATCCCGAGAATCGGACTCGCTTCGTTGCTGCCCATCATCCACGAGGTGAATAGGGCATCATCATTCAACCATTCCCCGGTCCCGTTGAGAAGCAAGCTCTTGTTCTTGCGTAACACGGCATCCCATGCGTCGAAGTCTTTTGCATTTTTGCCGAAGAAAACTTCTTGGACCTTGCTTTTGAAGTGCTGATCCAACTTGTCTTGTTTCTGCGCCACACTGCTCTCAATGAGAGTGTCAAGTTTGACTACACTCTCTTTCGAGGCTTTGGCAGCGTCTTGGCCAGCCTTGAGCGACTGAGCAGAAACAAGTCTATGCTCTCTGGCGGTTAAGTTCTCCATTTGAACAAGGAGGTCCTTCATGAAGTCGTCGTCCAGGAAAAGTTGGCGGAAAAACATTTCGATCTTGCGTCTTTTCGGCTTGAGCTGAAGAGTGCGATCGCAAACGTCGATGAAAAGTTTGAGTTGACAGCAAGCCACCCTTTCTCAGAGACGCATCCATGCCATCATAGTATGGCAGACGCTCAAGAAACTGGGCACACTTCTCAAGTAGTTCCGCAAGACTCTCGAAAACCGTTGAATATGACTGCCATGCCCCAATCACAAACGTGAGAGCGTTGAAACAGGTGTTTGCCGGGGCGAAGGCCTAAACAAGGAAAGCCGTCAGTTAGCACGAAACATCTTAGTAAGAATATAGATAGAGAATCTTACATATGAAGCTCCGTCGGCAATGATACCTCCAACTTTGGAGATGCAATTCAAAGTTCTGTTAAACGCTTTCTTGACGGTGCCATGCTTGTCAGCTGCTTTCTGATCCGCTGCCTGAGTCTGTTCCAAATATTGCATGACTCCATCAATATCAAGCTGTTTGTCGATCTTCGATGGGTCCCCTTTTGCCATGTGGATGACTCTGTTCTGTACTTCGAGCCATATCTGACTGACTTCATCGTCGGCAGCATTCTCCTCGGTTGTCGCGAGGACGACTACCGTGGTCTTCTCTGTCGCGGCCGTTATTGTTACATCTGTAATTACTCAAAACAATAAGAGACTTGTGCAATTGGCCTCGAACGCGAAGAGGATAGCCGTCCGTTAATTTAAAGAGCCAGCACCAAATCCACTCAAGTAACCATATGCAGCGAAAAACTAAATTCGTAAACCCATAATCTAGCTGCATATCACTAGCGCTTACGATGCCACACTGCCATCCATTTCCTGATGACCCCTGTCTGCAAACACCAACGTTATTGGCCGCCAGGAAGGTCACAGAAGTTCAGCTCTGTCAACTGCCCCTGTCTGTCGTCAGATTCGGTCACGGTGGGAAGCTGATTGTATTTAGGCAGCATGTTTGCCAACTGCCACCTCAGACCTTTGCGCCGAGAGATTCGAGGCATGTCTGAGGAACATTAGGTTCAGTGGCTAGATGGAGGCAACTCAATTTAGCTACAGCCTACAGGACTGTCGACTGCACGCTAGCGGGCCGGTGTCTCTTACGTATTACTCTGCTTGTGCGACTGCGGAGTATGTTCTTGGGGCGTGGTCTTGCTTTTTCCAGTGGTCGCTGTCCCAATTGAACCAGGAAAATGGTCTATCTTCGTTGGGAAATATCACAGCGCACAGCACTTACGTGCCACTCGTGTATCGTGGCTGAGAGGTCGGCTTCAAGGTCTTAATTTAGACGTGCAGATCTCCCACCATTCTTCGACTATTATTATTTAGCTACATCCCCCATCCACTTTAAGCTTAAAAGTTAACTGTCTCTCCGCTATTGTGTGGGCGAAAACATCAGGTCCTTGCACGATCACACGATGTCGACGTATCACCGACCCTTACCAGATCAACAGAGAGGCTCGTTTGAGTTGGATCAAGGTGATGCACCTACAGGATATCACGCTCCTATGGAGCAGCTATCCATCAGCGATGAAGCGACTGATGGGCTTCACAACTCGCGAAACCCGCTTCACATCAAGAGAAAGCCGCTCCTACATCTTAAGTCTATGTCGTCCACCGATCTTGACGAAAATGCGACAATGGAGCATGCGAGCCAAACATCTAGTCGAAATCTTTTGAGAAAAGCAACTACCATTTTGCCTACTAATCAGTATCACTGGATATTGGAGATTCTCGCAGTCTCACTCAGCATTTCTGCCCTCGTCGCTATTGCCATCCTCCTTCCTCTCTACAACGACAAGCCCCTAGCAACTTGGTCATTTCATTTTTCCTTCAACACCGTGGTGTCAATTCTCGGAGCTACATCAAGAGCAACATTGGCATTTGCTGTGAGCGCATGCATCAGTCAAGGAAAGTGGAACTGGTATAGAAAACGAGATGACACAATCATGGTCTACGATCGCTTCGAAGAAGCTAGCCGTGGTCCTTGGGGAAGTGTCAGGCTCCTATGGTGGTCGAAGCTAAGGTAGGTTTGACATCGTTTCCGGTTTAGTTACTTGACAAGCCTCAAAGAATTTGCAGTAATTAACACATCACTCACTTCAGACACTGGATTGCGCTCGGGGCATTATCGACAGTCATTTTGGTGGGCTTCGAGCCATTTCTACAGGCTATAATCGACTTCGAGGGCGAAGAAATCTCTTTTTCAGACCCTATCGCGAAGGCCACGATCGGGAAGACTGATAAACTTGACATCGGCTCTCATATCAGCATCTCAGGAGCTGCAGTCGCATTGACGGTGCCCGACTTTCCAGGGGAAGCAATTACCGGCATTTCGATGTTTTCGCAGTATGACTTCGGTTCTCTCGCTGCAATGTGGGCTGGTTTCTCCAATATCAATTCCGCCGAAAGCCAGAAGGCAGCATTCACTTGCCCCTCAGGCAACTGCACCTGGGCCCCTTATACATCGTTAGCAACATGCAGCTTATGCAGCGATATCTCAAAGCACATTGTTCAATCGACCGGAAGAACCAACCTGATGAAGGCTGAAGATGATAGTCTTACAATGGTGAACTTCATCTCGTCAGGCTCAATACATCTGATACCCAACATGACGGCTGGCTACATCAAGTACGAGATCCCAGCGCTCGGCATGAACATATCGAATATTGATGGGGCAGCGGTAGCAGCCTTGAGGGAAGACAATGAGACGATTATAAACACAGAATTGACAGCAAAAGCGACAACCCAGCCAACAGAGACAATCGGCTTCCGCGACATGAAATCCCTCATAATATCATTCGCAATGATGGAGTCCGACAGCGACTTTAGGGAAGGCAAGCAGGCCTGGGATGACGCGACCGTCGTAGCACATGAGTGCGCTCTGTACTTCTGTACGAATGTGTACCAAACCAAGATCAAACAAGGTGCTTTAGAGGAGACTGTTCTAGGCTCTTATGCTAATAGGAACCTCGACTCTTTCCTCTCCTTGAACCCTCACGAATTCCAGCTCTCGAAGGCATACAACGAGTACACGAATTACATTTTGAACTACGACAAGTCAGACTTCAACCGAACCGACCTCCAACTGATGATCTCACCGGAAGAATATCGTGGCGCCACTGGTTTAAGCACAGAAAACAGCTTGCGATTCAATATCTCACAAAACGCTGCTGGAAGCATCGCTGGAGCTTTCGCAAATCAGTTTGCCCGTCGGCCTAGCCCTCTGAGCAAGAAGCAGCTCGTATACCCGCCGCTACGTCGATCCCCTCAGGTTCCACAACAACAGCCCAACGTTATCACAAGCTTAGGGGTATCCCAAAATTTCACAGCAATGTTCGAGGCAGCAGCAGCTGGGTTGACAAAGTATATACGTGATCTCTCTTTGGAAGAGAATCCCTTGGAGGGTAAGACGCTGCAATGGGTGGTTCATATCCGTGTACGTTGGGGGTTCCTGTCTCTTCCAATGGCAGCATTATTAGGTGGTTGTTTGTTCTGCTTGTTTTCGATTCTTGAAACAAGACGACTGGGACTGCCGGCATGGAGGGGAAGTTCACTCGCAGGGTTAGCCCATGGGCTCGATGCGAATTCTCGAGAGAAGCTTAGAGCCGCGGATGGTGTTTCGCAGATGGACGCGCATGCTGATCGTGTCAAGGTCCGATTTTTAGACTCGCCGATGGGTCCAGAACTGAGACTGAGCGGCCATAGTGTTCATTAGTATCCTGCTACGGCTCAAGAACTAGAGCTCATTCCATGGAGTTCCTCAGTGGAAGGTTCTTCAGCTCAATATCAGTAATCCATGCTTTAATCAGGGTTGCAAAGGCTTTGCTGGCTCGGGAAGTATGATCGGTAAAAGTCCATCAAAGGTAAGACTTGAACGATGTCTGACGCGAAAATCATTCAACCATTATTTGGCTACGGAGAGCACGAAGTTAATTCCCTTGGTGTCCTTGGTATCTAGCTAACGGGTCGACCAAAGATCGAGGCCTGCCTCGTGCTTTTGGTGACTGAAAGCGTGCACGATCGCAGGTCCGGCGCTTCACGAGAACGAGAACGAAAACGACAACTCTGACGGAAACGTCAACTTAGCGGCTGAGTTGTCGCGATATCAAATGTTGACCATGCGTACGGCTATCTCCTCCCTGAGGAAAGCGCATAAAATTGCTCTCAAGAATATTCATATGGCACCGTAAATATTGAGTCTCAGGTGATGCTTCCATTGACTCGCCCGTGATGCGATGCCTAGGAGCCCTGACTTAGACTTCAGACTGATTGGACCACTGATTCAAAGGCTTGGATAGGCTACGGACTCGATCGGGCCCTGATAGTAGGTATAGTAATGACCATAAACTGTAATACCATGATCCTAACTTCTGGCTGCGCCTTAGCTGACTCATCGAAGGTCGTGCTAGCCTTTAAGGGATTATGAATGATGTAACAATCGACAAATTTGCTTCACTGACCTAGAAGCCACCAACATGGACTTTGAGTCTTGTACAGACATGGAAGGATACTGACCGCGCCAGGCAACTCCACAAAGCCTTTTGCCTCAATCCCAAAGTTTTAGACGTGAATACCATGTAAGTCTGGTAGGAAGAGAGATACTCAAGTCTTATCAGGATCATGTGAAAGCTGGTAGCAAGGCTTATACCGGTATGGACGAAGCTAATTATCACTGACTTTCTCAATACTCGACTGTTCTATTTGCGCTGTAAATAATGTATGCCTCTCATCTTCAAACTTGCACATCTGCGTTATCTAGCAAGACCTGTGAGAAAGCTGATTGTCTTGCAACAAGAAGATTGCGGAGCGAAGTGCTCATGATCTCATCATTGACTTGCAATTGTCAATACCTGTGAAATCGCGTAAAACTCGAAGAACATATGTCATGAACAAGTCATTGACGGCATGGTCATGTTGCATATAGATAAGTTGTCAACAAGGTCCTAGTAGAGCGTCATTTAGCTTATCAGACGACCGTAGATTTCGGGTCTCTACTGCATCGTCTATTTCCGTACAATCATGCATTAGCGGACTGCTAGAGGGAAATTGCGGCATTTTTGAGAAGCTAATTTCCTGGTCGACAGTAGACAGTAGACCTAAGCATTCTCTACCTCGCGGTCGAAAAGTCAACATGCTAAGAAGCACCTAGAGGCGGGTTTCGACCACTACGATGGTAGACCACACACCGGGTTTGCTGACTCCGAATGGCCTCAATGTGTGTTGCTCTGGCCACACGGCCACACATGAGGCTCTCACATGTTGCTTACTGCAGGGAGATGTTGCACACACGACGCCGAGGCAAGGCTCGTAGTGTTGTCTGCCTCAGTTGAAAATCTGCCTTGGCTAGCATATCTTATCCCGTCGCCAAGAGATCTCATGACTTGAGGATGCTGATCACCATGCGCTGACTTCAAGAGTCTAGGTCAATTGCCAGGTTGTGAGTTGTGATTGAAGACCTGGCGTGGCCAAGTCAAGATGGTCTTGGCAGCAACTTTCCACGATAATCGAAACAGCGCCTAGAAAGACTGATTATAGCCGCGATTGTAGCTTTGGTTGGGCCCATGGAAAGGCAAAATCTAACGACGTGGCGAGCGCCAAGCCAAGAGCCTCTTTGCCTTTCGCAATTGATCGGGAATTCGGCGCGAGGGCCAAGAAGCATCAAAAATGCCAAGACATCGCGATGTGACAAGCGGCGGCGGTTGACTTCATGTGATGAAGAGGCAAGCCTGGTATTAATCTTACTCGCTCAGTTGCGGGGAAATCAAACATTTTGGTGTAAAATTAGATAGATGGCAAGTCTTGGCAAATTTGGGGGCGGCGACTTTTCGAGTGCTCTCCAAGGCGGAATCCAGCGCAGCAAGGGGCCCTTGGTCAGAGCTGTCAGTCCTGCGCCACGTTCTGTATGCCATTATCCCGGCTCAGGTGTGCCGATGAAGGGTGGGTACACGGGGAGCACACAGTAGAGTTGGAGCCCCGTTGCAATCGGTTCCGACGGAGCGGAAATCACGTCCGGGCAGTGTCTTATTGATGCCCGAATGCATCTCTACTCTCCATACAGAGTAGCCTCATCCCACCAGCATGGTTCGTCTCCATTCTCAAGGTCTCGGGCAACATTAGCCACCTTGTCTTGGTGTGAGGCCAGCAAAGGAATTAGGTTATTCGGGGGCTTGGCCTTTCAGGCATGCAACATCATTCTGGGGTCCACCCCGTTGGTAGTTTCACCTTAGAAAGCTTAACGGCCCGTTCCGAATGCCCTCACAGTACTTTTTGCTATTAATAAATAAGCGATGTTGAGTTGGTAGTTTTAAGCGGAAGAACATGACGAGAAAACTGTCAGGCCTAACGTTTCATTGGCAGCTTCGCAGGATAATTTTCGAGAGCTGTTAGAGTCTACTTCTTGAAAGGTTCATCCCTGAGGCTCATGGCATACCAAAGGACGTCAGACGCATCAATTAGGCTAGTAACTCGGCAGATCGCAAATGGGTTCCTCAACCCTAAGTACAGCTTCCTCAGAACCAAGCTGTTGGCCAAGCCTAGAGAAGCTAGGATCCTAGAAGCATGAGCACACGAGAAGCTTCCCGACGTAGAGAGATCAGCTGTCGATCCAGGTGAAGCAACAGCCGCAACACCCGTGGTCTCTTACAGTTTTGATTGTACTTGTCACGCCAAGTCACACAATGTCAAGGCCTAGTATGTAGTCCGACGTCCATTGTCTCCAAACAACTGTCGGGAGCCGACATGCCAAGTCGGGGATAGTCCAAATTTCCTCCATATTGCTCCGAGGGGACAAAGTTCACCATTCCATGTCGAACAGCTGCCACCGGCACTGGCCCGAGGCGGTCCAGACCGTCATCCGATGTCAGTAGTCTCCAAGAAACAGGTGGAGTAAGACAGTTTGCTAAGATATGGGTAAATCGGGGGTTCCGGTTTCTTGTCACATTGCATTATCAAATGAGTCGGGTGTCGGATTAGCAAGGTAAATGCAGACCCTTTCTTACTACATACTGTAGTTACATGCAATCTCTATCTATACCACTCGAAACTACATGTGACCATGACGACTTCAACGATGCAGAAACAAAATGAAACCAAGCAACTCCTTCCCTCAGAAATGGTAGCTCTGTCTAGTTATGAAACTCCCCCAACCCATGATGACCGCGAGGGTGTGTCCACCTACCATTAACCCCGTAACATTTCTCGTGAAGCCAATCTGACGAAACTCATCAGATCGCAGAAGTGGGATTCTATTGCGTTTGATGATTAGAAGAAGCCTTACTTGCGCAAGTAATGGCTTGTCTCGGTTGTCTGAGAAACATTGTCGTTGCGCACGCCCCCTCGGTAATCCATAGAATAGCTACCGAGCTGATTCTCGGAGTCCGAGTTGGGAACGATTTCGCCATGTGACTTGTTGATAATCCGGGAAGGGTGGAACCAGTTGAAAACCCCCGACACAACCAGCATCATAAGGGCATCAAAGATGTAAAGGTACACCTCCTTCGACTGAAGTTCCCCATCTTCTCCCATGACATACTCGATAACTCGGAACAGGGATCGGACCATGATGAGCAAGCTTGTTCCATAGAGAACCATTAGTAGCTTTGGCCAAGGGGTCGACACCGACAAACTCCTCGAGGTGGGTTCACGCTTGATACGGTAGTGGAACAAGGCGGTCACAACCATGAAGAACCCGAAAAAAGCAATCTGAATGGCCAAGCCAATGATGATGATCATCTGCCCACGATCCTTCTGCGCCTTTGTATCAGCACCCGCAAGAGAGCCGCCACCTTGAAGAGATCGTTAGCCGTTGAGGTTTCATACATCATGGCAGTCTTCATCTCTTACCAATAGCTTGAGCGAAAATCGATATGATGTCTCCAAGGAGAAACAGCTTGGTAATCCACTTGACTCGAATGAGCGAGTGTTTCTCGGCATCAAGCAGTGTAATCAATCGTCCGAAGATCATGTATATCGATGCTGCATAGAAAGGAGGTCCAAGAAGCAACAGTAGAGCTTGGATGATGTATGGACCTCTTGACCAATTAGGGGTCTCGGTAGCATTGATCGAGCGTCCAGCATAACCGATGATCTCAACTGTAGAGTAGTACATATTAGTGATGCCAGCAAAGCAGGGGTGTATTTCAAAATTCTTACCAAGACAGCCGATGAAGAATGGGATGAAGTACCATGTTCGCGTCTTTAAGATCTGAAAGGCATGGCCAATTGCGGATAGACCAAAGCAGGCTGTAAAGATAATTGCCGCAGGAAGCGAAGGGTCGTACTTGTAATAGTCGTTGGCCATTTTGGGATCTGTGCGGAGGCGAGATCTTTCGACTTGAAGACAAAAGTTTCGAAGACTTTCAGAGGCGAAGATCGATGAAATCTTCGATAGTTAAGAGTAGAGTATGACTTGTTATGATTGATGAGATTGTTTATTCTTCCTAGTTCCTGATTCCAGATGAGATGAGCACGTCTTTAAGCACCGGATATGCCATCTTGCAAATCCCAAATCCGTTGCTAATTAATTTTCGCTTTTCCTATCGCTGCATCTACGAATCTTGAAGCTGACGAAAAAATGAAGCTATCTCTGCTTCGCCTCGAACGGTACTTTTTACGTAGAATACGAGATACGAACCCTGGAACGATAACGAGAAGAGAAAACGAGGGGAGCTGTGCTATCAGCCTCAATACTTCGCCAGCGACGAGTTTCGTGACAAGTCCACCACCGGATTTCATACTATTAGTAATGTAAGGACGGGGCTTTCCATGTCGCCCGAAAGACATAGTCTCCCAGTAGGCGTGCTTTCTTTACGAAGCCCCATTCTTCCATCAGCTATGAATCTTCTGTAAGGATTTGCATAGAGTCTAGTCAAATTACATGTAAGAGGCTTGTGCCATTAGCGCCGAGTATCCGTAGATTGACAGGTGTTGCAACTTGCAGCATCGGTTCAGGGACATCATTACCAGAAAGTCAGTATGGTGTGCTAGTCAGAGTTAGGCCTAAAGTGAGATCGCGTCAGCCCCCCTAACTCGAATAATCAGATCGATACAAGGCATGATTGGGCAATGGGGATAGTAGAGGTCTTTCCCCGACGACGTACGAGACATGATCCCAGTTAAAGGCGTGGAGAAGCCTCGTTCTCGGACTCCAAAACAATTGGTCGGCAACCCTCGCCAAGCCAATCGCCGACTGGTCTGTACGGCCGGCGACTGGCCGGGGGTTGTCTTCATCTGAAGGAAATGGACCGCGGCGCGGTCGTGGCTTTTCTCCCCCCCGTTACCCAATACCCACGGATTCCACGGGAGGCACAGCACGCACCAGAATATCTGCCAAGACCCTGCCGTAGCCCGATGTTTCCCTGTCACTTTCTCCATCTCATTCTTCCCCATCTTGGCTGGCCTCCGCCGACTTGAGACTTTTTACGGCGTCTGCTGAAGCCTGAAGGACCTGAGAACTCTAAATGTTGCAACTTGTGGGCAGCGCGGGAAGGGGAATGGAACCTTGGAAGAGGCCGGCGATCCGGCGACGCAAGATTGAGGCTTAGATGCTACATGTACTCCTTAGGCTGAGCCGGGCCTTGGCGAAGAGGGATGAGAGTGTCAACTGACGACAACACGCCTTGGCTCGTTCTACCATGGTGTTTTCACTGAGTGAGGGGATTCATAAAAAGCTTTCTACCAGACACACAACCTCTGACCCAAAGTCTTGGCGATTCGCGTCTATTCTTTCTGTTGCCTTGGAGTCCCCAACCGATCACCCTTTCTTTTGGTTCCCATCGTCCCCTCCCTCTCCAACGTCCGTGGACCTTTCGTCCCATTCCGTCGCCGGTCGCACATCCCAAAGACGCCGTTTCACTGGTTCTATTCTCAGCCAGCCCATGCAAGGCTATCAATGCGCCTGGGAGTGCCACGTTGGAGACTGTACACTAAGTATTGTCAAGGCCGATCAACTAACTCGGGAGTGATGTCAAGTATGTGATGGATGGGCATCCCCCACACTGACGCATGCACACAAGGCTTAGCCCATACCGACTGCAACCGCCGCTCCTCCCGCGGCCACATGTGCACAACTTCTTTTTTCTTCTTGGGGAAATATTCACACGTTTACTGTATCCGTACGGTAAACTGGGGCCAGGGTGCGGTATCTCCGCCCGCACGCCGGAGGTCTTGGCACGACTCAGTTCCGTATCGCTGACACCGTCACTTTCCCCCACCTAAACACCGCGAAGATACCAAGGAACCTAGTAAGCTTCACTCTTCTCCATTCTTTTTTTTCTTCTTTCTCTTCCCATTCTTGCCCTCGACGATTCTTCAACATCCCTCTACCTTGTTCCCCTTCGCACTACACCTCCTATAACTGGGTTAAACACCAGCTGGACCCTAGTTCCGGCGGGGTTGAATTTGATTGTTGATGTTCAAAGCTGTGCAAAGGGCAGACTTGAGTCTTGGCATTCCCGCAGATATTCTATCCATATCTACAGATACATAGAAACGTACCGCTGCTTCGTTCTTCAGAAGACAATGATGCGTCAGTACTGCGTTATTCGTGCCTGACTGTATCCGTTTTCCCCTTCCCTTGTCCTGTCCCCTACACCCCGGCCACCTGAGATCGGACGAAAATCCTGGGCGCACCCGTCGACTTCCACATCGGCCCTAGGCTCGCTCGGCCGGGATGCGCAACAACGTTCGACAAGGCTCAACATAAGAATAACTTCCCACAACTTGGCCGCGGGTCGCCGACTGCAGCGGTTTTCTCGGCCTGCTCTGTATAAACAGAGAGACCACACTCCGATCCGCAAAGATACCACACCCCACCGGCTCGTCCTTATTTACTGGACCTTGCTCCTCCCTACCTCGTTACCGTCTTCGTTCTCGGGTGCTTGCTCTATCAGGCCTCGATATGTCTCTTTGGTCTTGAATCCTCTGCAGCAGAAGCCAGAACATCACAATGAAGCGCCTGGGCTACAGGAAATCACGCAATGGGTGCTTGAGATGCAAGGAGAGAAGAGTCAAAGTAGGTCATCAGAGTCCAAGTCCCAGTGATGAAGTAGTTTGATCTTCATCTACCCTCTCCCTTTTATCATATTTAACACTGCGCTATGTGCATTCGGCCGAAACTAACGAGTATGAACCCCACGCAGTGTGACGAAAACAAGCCTTGCAGCGCCTGTGTACGCCATGGCTTGCCATGTAGTCTCGAAAACGCGGGAGCGCCGACAGGCGCGTCCTCTCAGTCCATGGCTCACCTGCCGCCGCCAGGGCAACGTACCAAGAGGTCGGGTTCGCGCGTAAGCTTCCTCCCCTAACCCCCCGTTTCTCCCCCCCTCACCAGCCTTGTTAGTGTTGGGGAGGGCTTCGTTTTCGCAAACTAACGCGCGATTGGGGTTTCTTAGGGCTCGGCATCGGCACTGAGACGCCGATCAAGCGCGCAGTCTCCTGCTTCTCTCTCGCCACAGTCTGCCGCCGGATCACTCGGGGGCCAACAGAGCGCTTCTAGCTCCGGCGGAGGAGGCCAAACTTCGCCTTCGTCGCAGTCAGATCCGTTTCCTTACTTCTCGAGGTTCCTGACCGATCTGAATAAGACCGAGACGGCCAGCGGATGGATCTCTGATCTCGAGCTTATGCACCATTATACTTCGGTGTCTTATCGAACCTTTTCGCACTCCTCCTTGGCCCAGAAGACTCTTCAATACGACGTCCCGAGGGAGGCTCTCTCCTACCCGTTCCTCCTTCATCAAATTCTCGCTTTCTCGGCCTACCACTTGGCCTACCTCCAGCCAGATTGCCGCCATGCCTACCTCATGCAAGCTGCCCAGCACCAGAATGACGCCATCAACGGGATGAGAGGGACTCTCCTGGGCACGATCTCCTCGACGAACTGCCATGCCCTCTTCGCCTCCTCCATCTTCCTTACCTTGAGCGCCTTTGCTACCTACCCGAGCTACGAGAAATACAACCCTTCCTTCTCCCCGATCGATAGCATGCTCGACATCTTCACCCTCACTGACGGGATGAGCATGATCCTGCGCGCCTCCGACGAGGATCTGCGCAAGGGCCCACTGCGAGAGATCTTCATCCGCGGGTCCGGCGATACCACGCCGTCCACCGTGGAGGCTACTCTACAACCGCTCTTCGAACGGCTCCCTCGCCTGAGCTCCCAGCTCGCGGAAATTGGTCTCGTCGAGCACGAGGGAAAATATGCCATCACCAACGCGGTGATTGCCTTGAGCGAGTGCATCGCCAAGGTCTCTACCTTCAACGCCATGTCGGCACCGGTCGAGTTCCGCGCTGTGTTCCTCTGGCCCATTCTCATGACCAGCGACTACTTGGACATGTTGCGTCGGCGTCATCCAGCGGCCATGGTGGTGTTGGCGCACTACTGCGTTATCGTCCACATGGCAGAGCCGTTTTGCTGGTTCCTGAACGGGTGGGCCCGGTCTTTGATCTCGCTCATATCGCAGCACTTAACTGCAACTCCATGGGCAGACTTGGTGGCTTGGCCCGTGGAAATTATAGGGGTTGGCGGTTACGAAGTACAGCTAGATCGCATGGCACATGCAATGCCCGTCGTTCTCTAGCCTGTTGTTTTAATCATTCTTTCATTCTATCACTTCATACACGCTACACATGATAGCGCCTCGCAACCGGAATATCTTTACGGACAGTAGTCACTTGACAGAGAGTCGATATCATCTCTCGCTAACAAGGGCCGGGGCGTTACTGGATTTGGACGGGAAGACATGGCCAAGGCAGCCGGAATCGGCGGGTGGCCGGACAGGCGCGGACAAGCGCGGAGAGCGAAAAGGTTATTTGAATTTCATGGCTTTGGCAGGGACTTTGGAGGTTGGAGAGACTGGAGTCCAGGAGGGAATCTTGGTTGAAACCTTGTATGGAGTAAAGCGAGGCCCAAACTTTATGACTAGTCGACGTTTTGTCATCTATTCAGGTGCGATGAACATCGAAATCAATACGTAGAAAGTTTTCTGATGATCTGCGCGGGCCGTCCGTTCCGGATGACGGCATCGGTTTCGCTCCGCGTATAGCACTTGAGTCGTGTAAATGGCACAACACGATAGACTCAGCTTTGCTGGTTACTATTCAAGCTACGTGTTGACCGCGACAAGCTTCGCTCCATGACAAATATTCAATCCCTGATGAGGGGAGAAACAATAGAACAAGAATTCATAATTTACAGGGATGTTTACCAGGTTCTTGACCTAGACCGCCCGTAACCCATAGACTGCGCCGTAACTCTGTAATGCTACATCGGTTACTTGGCTGAACGCCACAGGGCTTTTGAGAAGACGCACTCACAAGGTCATGCAGTGATTTTTGAGTGGCGGAGTCATGGTATTGACTTGGCACTTTGGGTAGCATGACTCTTAGTAAGTGCGACATCTTCCTTGTTGCAAGTGCGGAATGAATTCCTCTCGATCCTGCCGCTACGATATCGGAAGTGAGTTTGCCATTCTCTTTCGTACTGGATTTCTTAGTTGCTATCAGCCTGATGGCGTCCAAAGCCGCTCAATGTTCAAGAATTCGGACCATCCATCTACTGCCTTCTCCCTCGTTGATAGACACCCGAAGTCTCTTTTCCCACATGGCTCGAATCTTCTCCGCCGGAAGCCCAGCTGCGCCACTGACAGCAAACACACCAGAAGCCATCCAGAGCGAGTCTACAGCCGCCCCATTCCCTTCCTCTTCCCCCTGTCGAAGGCTAAACTGATGATTGATAACGGGAATGAACGACGTCTGCACAATGAGGTTGGTATTAGGATCCGGTCTCAACATCCACGCCCCTCTATCGAGATCTCCACGCAGCCCTTCTCCTTCGACCATGATATCGGAGATGCCGCTCGCCCCGGCTGAGGAGTAGACGACACACCTATCAATGTCCTCGCTGTAACACTGCCCATCGACTTCGTGAGAAGTCCGCTTCGGGAGAAACTTCCCCGCAGCCGTATGTGAGTCGATAGCGAACCCTCCATCGAGGAGCTGCACACTCCCGAACCACGACGGAATTTCGCCTCTGGGATTCCATCGGACCCTATGAACCCGTACGTGCCACCCGGGAAAGCTCTCCATGACAGGCACCAATGCTGTCTCAATCTCCAAGTCAAGCCACTTCCATGGTTTCCAGACACTGACTAGAGACGGCATCTCGTTGCACATGCTAGAACACGACACCGACACAAGTTCGATCCTGAAGTCCGTCGGCTCCCATCTTACGCACCAACTGTCGCCATCGTCGATACTAGCAGCCAGTGTACTGTCGGGTGCCATCTGCGAAAGTAGTGGTCCCGTGGGCACACTAAACCCAAAAGCCGATGAGTACGCAAACTTGCCATACTTTGCTTCCCGTCCCTTGAAGCTCTTCTTCGTCATCTGGCCCGATGAAAGTAAGAAATGGTGCTCCGGCCCGTTGCAAAGTATATGCCGCGGCGGCCAGACGACTCCTACACGTCCCGGATACGGCTGCTTCACGTTCGTCGCAGTATTTTCTGATAATGAAGCCAGAGGCTTGACGCCTTGGAGAGGATGGGGCTTCTCCTCGCACCTCCAAAAGGCGTGGTCCTCGGACAGACCTAAGATGACGAAGGTCTTGAGGCACCAGTACACCGACTGCGGCGAGTTGTAGTCCTCACTCAGGTACATGTTGGGATACGCAAACCCGATGCTGAGCGTCCCGTCCGTGTTAAACATGTCCGGTTTTCCTGCCCACCATCGGAGATGCCGTAACAGCAGTCCCTTGACTACTCCAGGATCGTCTAGAGGCGGTGCAAGATCCACGCCAGCGGTTGCTGCGGCGGACCAGAATGCAACAAAAGCAAAGCGGTATGTTAGACTTCGACCAAATGGTATTGCGGCCCCTTTCCTTATCGTCAGCTTGCTTTCCAGAGCTCAGTGACAACAAAATAATACGAAACACTCACCATTTGTGTCAAAATACCTCCAAAAGCTGGACGCATACTCCTTGGCCTGCACCTTATACCTCTCAACCCTCTCCTCATCCCCGACAGCGAACCGTACATACAACAACTGCGCAAACTGAATCGCAAAGCTGCCCGAGTAATAATCCGCCTGTTTCCTCTCCTTCCCCCAAGCTCCATCACTGGACCACCCCTCCCCCATATAGAAAGTATCAAGAATCTTCAAGTCCGCATCCATGATCCATCTAGCCTCCTCAATCGAGACCCCTAACGCCCTCACCAACGCCAGGTTAACAAACACCCGGAACCAAAGCCAATTATTCTGCGGCATCCTCTTCCCATTAATCTGCCTCAGCCAAGTCCTGAGTCTCTCCTTCTTCTCCTCATTATCACATGCCGAAAGAAATGGTCCAGGTGCAACAAGCATAGCAAAGGCGATAGACTCCATCTCCACCATCCGCTGATCGATATCATCCACATCGCCCCAATATTCCTCAGAATCTGGATCTGTTCCCGCCACGACCCCCCGGGACCAAGATTTCAAGTTCAAGCCCGCGAGTTCCTCACTCTCGCCGCCGCTTTCGAAGTCATTCAAAAGATCCGCGACAGCCCACAACGGCCTCGCGAACCCTTCCAACTGCGCCGCGACTTCATCGAACCCCGCGGCTGTGTTGGTCGTGAGCTTAATCCGCGCTCTCTGGAGGGACTTATACTGCTCCAATGGTCGTATCAGGGCCGTTGCCGCGCGCACGACGTCGGCGCGGGTGCGGAAGGGGTTGTCTGAGAAACCGGGCAGAGGAGGCATGTTGTAGTATCGGCGACCTGCGAGTCTCCCAAAGGGTGGATGAGATTGATCCAGCAGTGTCAAGTGGAAGCCCACAACTATTCGTGACGATGAAGGTCGAATGAGTCATATCTGCGAATCACACGCCGGCCTTTGCTTCAAGATACGTCGGCCGTCTCGATGGTGCGGATGAAATCCAACGGACTGCGGGGTATCTCCCAAATAATCTCAACTCGCGCGAATGATGCACCGAACCGACGTCACACGACCGCAATTATTCCATGAATTCACGAAGAGGGTTCACTGTGGACTTACGATCACTCAAGGTCTTCAAGGCTAAGTGAGAAAACACTTGTTCATAATGACGAACCTGATACCCTACTACCTACACTATTAACATAGGCAGGAACACACACCCCAAGCTCTGCCCATCTTAAACTCCGTGCTGTTGTCGCCAGACCAAATACAAATGAGTGAGAAGAAACCCAGTCCCCGAGGAGCTTAAACTCAACGAAAGTCTGCGAGGTCTAGACCAATTCCAACAGGACGAGTCTTGCCCAGATCGTCTTAGGCGGCGGTGAAATTATACAAAACCCGGTCCCCCTAATCGAACTCATTGTCGTAACCATAGTCATAATCGTCCTCATCCGCGTGATAACCTCCCCACATACCCCCGTGAGCATCGCTCATGTGATCGTAGATGTCCTCTTCGCCAACGTTCTCACCGCAGGCGAAGCACCAGTGGGCATTGCAACCCGGCACGGTGCATGTGATATGGTCACATCCGCCCATCTTCTCCGTAACTGTACCGCAGCCGGGGCAGTTGCGAACCCTCAACCTTTGGGCACCCTCTATCTGAATCTCCTTGCACTCATCACATGACCAGTTCGAAACCTCAGGTACGCCAACAGCGCATACCCGCTCAGCATACTTCTTGGCAAAACCGCAATCTCTGCACCAGCCATATATCCACTCCTTGTCCGTAGTCGCGGTCTGTAGGTCGCCGATGTGGGAAATACCAAAGCTAGAGACAGTCTTGGCGGTCGGTTGTCGGCGGCAGAAGGGGCAGGAGAGAGCTGCGAGGTTCAGCAATCTTCCACGGACATTGAGTCCATACCAATCCTTCATACAGCCGTTGCAGATCTGCTGATGACAGCCGGAGCGACCACATGCGTTCCGAAGATCGGTCTTCCGGATGTTGGAGAAGCACAAACTGCAAACCCCAGCCTCAGTACGTCGAGATCTTACCCACTCGCGAAGGGACTCGAGAATGCTATCCTGGTTCTGGATAGCCTTGCCGCGAATCGTGAGCTTTGCTTGCCCGTGAACCGCTGGAATAATCTCAACGTTCTTTGCTAGCAATTCCCGATTCGATTCTTCTACCTGAGAAATGGTGTAGAACAGAGATCGGCCGTTGAAGGGGTCCTTGATTGCCAAATCATCATTGCGCAGGAGCCACGAGACGCCGTTCTCGCCGGTCAGTGTCTTAGCCGAGGTTTCGAAATCGATGACGGTAACTCTGTTGGCTGTACAAGCGGGGCACTTGAAGGCTGAAAGATCAAGGTCGGAAGGACGGTATGTCTCGGGCCAGATGACCCGGCTTCGACATTGCGAACATTCGACACAGGGAGCTTCGCGCGGGATCTTGTCTTTTGCCGCGACGAAACCATGGTGCCGGCAGTAGTAGCATTTTGCCCGTACATTCAGAGCCTGGGGGTTATAGACGACGTACTGAGCACGGCATGTTGGCGTGAAACATTCGACCCACGTCGCCTCCGTTTCTTCGGTATCCCCGCGGGTCACGTTGTTCTGGAGACGGGCCTCTTGATCCGGGGCTGTCTGACAGACCTTGCAGTCACACCTGTTGCTCTTAGGACAGAGGCCACAGACGTTGTCCGGCCCCATTATGGTGACTGAGCGGGGGAATTCGCATCTTTTGCATATGGCAAGGGGCCCAAGAGATACCTTAGACTTGTCAGGGTGCCATCCAATCTTGGCCTGTAGGGTCGTGTTGAGGTTCAACTCAAGGAGCTTGTAGTCAACCAGAGTCTCAAAAAGACGTCGGTCGCTCTCAAGGAGAACACAGGCTTTTGGCGCTGGGCGCTGTGTTACGCCTTGAGCAACCCGTCTCTCGTAGTCCTCGCTGGCATCCAGGAGCAGCGAAAGGCAGCTAGCATTCCAGGTCTCGGGGATGTCCAAGTTATTCCACTTCGTGGTGAATGTGAGTAGCTCCCTGTCCGCGGTGGCTGTGAGGGGCCGAATTCCCAAGCGCAGGGCAAGGGCAGCAAGCAGGGCGGCTGGACGAGCGGCCAGCATGGTCCCAGGAAGTATCAGATGTAAGAGTATCTTCCAAAACTTTCGCTGATACTCAACAGAAGAGAGGGCCATGGGAATCAGGGCGACATTAGGGTCGGCTCTAATGTGAGCTGGCAGGTCCTCTTCGCGGGCCACGTAAGTCAATCGTGTGAGGACTTTACCGAGCCTCTGGAGAATACGGTTGTCGCAAGAACGACCAATCTCTAGGAGTTCTTCTCGTGTAAACTCTGTGACGGCACGCTTATCAGCGGTTGCGTCTTCGCCGTTGTCGTCTGTGGAGGTCTGGAATTGCTCAGTGGGATCGAGAAACACGCAGGGGTATCTCTGGTGTTCGGGCACCTTGTCGATGACTTCTGAAATTTCAGCTGCGTAGTCGTAGGACTCTTCGAGCCACGCCTTCATCCGGGCCTTCTTCTCAGGCTCGGGGATGCGGTCGACGGAGTACCCAAATGCCTGGATGAGTCCATCGCGAGCCGGGTTATCCCGATCGTTGCAGACGGCTCGCCATAGGCTACCGAATACTGGGTTGATGGCAATGGTGCCAACATCAGCTGCGATCAAAGTCTCGAGTTGCCCAACGACAAAGCTGCGGTAGACCTCATCGGCTTTGTACCTCTTCGAGAAGTCCAAAAGGGGCGTTTTCCGAGCTTCGACAACAGTCCGCAATTCATCAAGCTTGGTAGGTGTTGGCTTTATGTTGTTCATGACAGTCCGCTCCATGTGTTTGGCGATAGCAAAGTACAACTCGAGGGCGTCGTCCTCTTCGCTTGTGACGTCCTCGATGTTGGAGGCTGTTCGATACTGACAAGCTTCGGCGTAGGTGCGCTGGCCGGACGCTGCGCCGCCTTCCTTCCCTACACCCATCCAGGCCATCAGGATGCCAGTGGTCAACTCCGAGATAGCGACCGATGTGGGAACGTTGTGTTGGTTATCGAGCTTGAAGCTCACTCCCCCCGTGATATGTGAGAGAAACGTGAAGGGGGCGACGGTGTATTCGATGCCGCCCTGAATGACGGAAAAGACCTTGGCCTTCTTCTCGCCGTCCCGAAGGATCTTGGCGCCAGCAATCCAATCGGTAAAGTACTTTCCACAGCCATAGAAGGAATCGAGCTTGGAGAGGTTCTGAATTTCGGTGGCTCTGTGCTTGGACGACGTTCCCGGGATGTGGGGAGGCGCGTCAGCGTAGAGGATGATGATGGTGGTGGCCTCGGGACGCATGATGCTATAGGCTCTGGCAAGTCCAGTCTTTGCAGCCTCGGGCCAATCTAGTCCGTAAGTACCAGAGTCTGCCTTAATATGACTGGCCTTTTGAAGTAGCTGGCCCTGTGTGATTGTGTCGTCGGCCGTTGAGCTTGTTGAGTACCATCCTGACCACTCCGTCAACATGGAGGCAGAGTAGTCGCGGTAAGCCATGACTCCGATCCGGTCGAAGCAGTCGGTCAGAGCCGAGATCCGAATAATTTCTGGTAGAGACTTGTTGAGAGCTTGCAGGTAGCTGCTCATGGACGCCGTGGCGTCCGTCAAGATTAAGAGATCATAACGGTCGGTGGTAGCCATGCTGGGTGGTGCTGTTTGTTGTCCGTAGACCGTCCCGTTCTGTGGTGTCTTGTTCATAAAGACTCCAAGAATGGGAGACGAGGTGCAATTTGAGCATGAAGAATCAAATGGCTGGGAACATATCGAGAGTGCTTTCCGCGTTTATATAGAAGAATTGAGGCATTGCAGGTAGTGAGAAGGAAGAAGGGGAAGATGAGGCCAATTGAGGGCTGCGTTGACTCACGCCGCCAGAAGGTGCGCCGCGGTGTTGGATGACGGGAATTCACCTCAGGAAGTTGGAACGGTCAGACGAAAGGGCCGATCCTGCGTCATTCGCCGTTTCCCCCTCAAGGGATTACGGACTCTTGCCGGCTGAGTCAATGGTCGAGTCCATAGTAGATGCCTTGGATGTTCGTCCAGTTTCTGGACTGAACAACTCGTTGCTGCATTTCTTTGAAGCAGTGTTGGCCGAATGGTTGTGGCTCAGCCCAGGAAGCTTGCCCGTTGGCACTTAGCTCTCAGTTCTTCCCCCACAAAGTGGCTGGGGGCGGCCGCTCATGTCAGCCCTTACCGCGCGCTTCGCCTCGATGATGGTACTTTGGTCGAGATATAAGCAACCTAAGTTCGTTTTCATTGGACAATTCCATATCTTTCGGGGAGAGGCAGAATAAAAGGCATTTTCGCATCAATCGGCACTGGTTGATGAGAGGAAATCGCTCAAAAGCTGGGGAAGCTTCTTCAATTCCATCCACAGTCAATCGATAGCGTCCACGTGCACCAGCCCTTCGAATTGCTTCATTATGCTATTACTATTACACTATTAGAAAACACCTTATCTCACCAACATTGAAGTAAACTTCATCTAGTTGCGGACATATGAAATCGGCTCCAACGCCTCGCTCGCGCAGTCGGCGGGCCCGTTGATGGGGTTGCACCGCACCGCCGCACCACCTTCGAAGCGCACGGCATAGTCGACGTTCCAGCGGCTGCTCATGCCGTAGGCCTGGAAATCGGTCGACACGATCTGCGCACCGCTGGAGAACGCATCCTCACGCATCCCCGTTGTGTCGTTGGACAGCAGCGTATCGAGCGGGATGTCGGCGCGTGTGCGGACCCAGTAGCCCGCCTTGACCTGCGCCTGGATGTTGGCCTGTTCGGTGCCGGTGGGGTCATTGAGCTGATTGAAAGTTGTCAGTAAAATAGTCACTTCTTATCAAGAACGCCCCCGGTGTAGAAGGGTTGATGAACAACAAACCTTTTGGAACGCGCAGTCAGAGTTTCCGGGCGCAGAGTTTGTGAAGAGAACACGGCCTTCAAGGTTAGGTCGGCCCTCGGTGTAAGAGTCACGGATGGGGTTGACGGGCCCATTGTCCATCAGGAAGAGCACGCGACCACGGGCACTCTCCAAGTCGGGCCACCCATACTGCAAGACGGACTGCTCCAGCGTCAAGTTGCTCCTACGGATGTCGTCCGGGGTAACAAGGTCCTCGGGCGCAAAGACACTGCGGATCTCATCGTCGAGGCCCTTGAGAAGTGTCGTGTCGTTCCAGGGGATTGGAGACGCGCCGCCGATTGCCGCGAAGGCGGCTTCGGAGGTTTTGAACTCGATCATGAAGGGGATGGGGACATGGTCAGGGTGTGCCTGGCTCCACTTCTTGACGATGTTCAAGCACCCAATGAATGTTTTGCAGGTGGGATGGTAGTCTGCATCGGCGACGTGCAGGACTTTGATTCCCGGGGCGAGGAGATCGGGGTCTGGAGTCGTGGAAAGGTTCGCGAGCTTGCGGATGAGGGGCGTGGCGTAGTGGCCGCCTTCGGGATCGGCGAAGATGTCGAGCTCGAGGTTGCGAATAGACTGATAGTTGAGCTGAATGTCGAGGGACGGGTGGGAGTAGTAGTAGTTCTGGACGTTGGGAAGCATCATCGCCTGGGTCGGATGCTCCTCAAGGGGTGCCTCGCGATGGTACGAGTTGTGTGTGCCAACGACCTGGACCTGGTTCATGCGGATACCGCGAGACCAGGTGAGGCCATTGTGCGTGTAGGTCTCATTGCTGCATGAAGCAGCACTCACGAGAGGGAGCACTAGTCAAGGTCAGAATCTTTGTGTGAGGAGAAAGCCCAGATCAAGGTGCAACGCACGGAGAGCGGCCTTAAGGGCCAGGCTGGAAATGGGCGACATGGCGAAGAGTGGTGAGATGAGAAGCACAACAGCGACTACGCACAGGAGGCAAAACCAAAACTTTGAAGGAACGGATAGCGCATGCTTATAAATATATGAAAGGTCTGCACGCGAGATCGCCAAGAGTAACCGAGAGCTCCGTTCAAGCCTCTCGATGGAAGGGTCGGTAGTGAAGCGGAGGGTTCATCCGGTGGTGCCAGCCAACCGGGTCAAGTCAGGGCACGTGGGTTAGAGTGAAGGACCAGCTCTGAAAAGGTTATATCACGGCCATGCAGTGACAGGAAGAAGACCGAGACTAACAAGGTCGAACAGCATATGGCAGAAGACAGATGCAAAGGACAGAGGAGAAACGGACACACCGGGAAGAGAGGTGCCCCACCACCGGAAGCCGTTGCCCGCTCTGCCCCGCAAATTGCCTGGAGGAAACAGCTTCCCAACTTGGCAGGCCTGAGGAGGGGTCGGCCAATGGCGGGCTTGAGGGCGAGCATGTGCCTGGGAGCTCATCTCATCTTCCCTGAAGCTTCCCTGCACATGAGAACGTCAATGAGATGATCCACGTGGGCTCTCTCCACCACCAATTGCAACGGGAAGTGAATTAGAACTCTCACGTTGAGTTAAATGAGCTAGTAAGATCCAGATCTGCTTGTAGTGTCTCATCATCAGCCGTTTCTTGTTTTCGCGACGACCTTGACAGACCACTCCGGGGTGAAGGGCCAGCATGTACACCATGGTAGAGAGGCTGAAGGTTCCAATCACTTCACGTAGATAGTTTGAGACACCTTGGACTAATCATTGCTTGATTTTCTTCTAAAGTGCGACACGGAGACATCATTCGAAATACGCCAGTGCCATGGTCTCTGGAATTTGCGTCGTGAATCTGGCCTCTCACTCACTTACTCACCTCTAAGTTCACTCCCACTTGTCATTGTTTGAATTGAGGCAAGAAAAGCCTTGGTGAGATGCCAATTGATGAGCACTGTTATGAGTATGACTGAATGATGTCGTGATGGGAATAATTTCCATTCCATCCTACTAGACCAGGAAAATGTCCCTTCCTGTCAATTCATAGTCATTCACCCGTTAGCTCATCGTAAATCGGCCACTCTCTAGATAATGCTTTGACATTAAGGATGAACGTGACCACTCAAGCTCCAATTCCATCTCATCATCGCATGGAAGCCACGATTCCCTCCCAGGCAGCAAAATTAGCCCCAAGGCACCTCAATCTCACATCCGCGACGCCACACCCGGCTGCCCATCATCCAGATTGTTTCGGCCACTGATCCGCCGCCAACTTATGTAAACCACCCGGTGCTTCCTTGCATTCCCTCTGCAACCTACCGGCCAGGCCCGGCCCCACCGCACGGCGCCGTGGCGCACATCCGGCGTTGTGCATCTGCAGTCCGACCGCCCGTGGTTCCCTCCGGCCTGCAACACCATGATGGGCCTATCACCCGTCCCTCCATCCATCGTTCCATGTCAACTCAACCATGGAACCAGGGGGGACAAGCGCTTGTCGATATGGCTAGACACTGTGATTCGGCATTGGCCTGTCCGACTGCCATCGCGACAGCGGAGGTACCTTCCCAGTACGTATTTGTTACCACCCTTTGCCATCCGTTATCATCACGTCTTAACCTCATCTCAAGGCGATCTAGCATCGCTCTCTAGCATCGCCATCCCTTCATTCTTCTGATCTTCAGGAGGTTTTCATTCTTTACATAAGGTATCAATTACATCCCACACTCATTTCCAAAGAGCCAGATCGATTCCGGCTTTCACGCTCCTTTCTCGACACCCTCACCGAGCCACACCGAGCAATCACAAGCATCGCCCATCCCCGGTCCATCCACCTCCTCCCGCGCCGAGGTCAACTGCAACCCCAGAGATCGACACCCACTTCCCCTCAAAATGCATGCCCCGACCCCTCACCTCCTCCCCCTGGCCACGGCCCTTCTAGCCATCGGCACCAATTTCGCCCATGCAAACCCCCTCCAAGTGCTCACCGCAGGAATGGATAGCACACTGCCCGTCGGCACGAACCCCATCGTGAACCCAAAAGTGGAGTACCTGGGCTTCCAACACGCAGACAACAGCTGCTCCCACCGCGATCTGGGCTTCACCGGCTCTATCGCAGGAAAATGGTATGCAGTCTGGGGTGATGTGCTCTGGTGTGATGCTGGTGTCACGGATCCTGAGAAGGACACGCCAGGGTTCCACGGTATGGTGCGCGACGCCGTGTCTGTAATGACCAAGAACCCGTTGGTCGTGCATGATCTCAACTTGGGGGAGAATGGGCGCCAGAAGCAGTTCATCCCCTTCAATTCGTCGTGGGGAGAAAAGGTTGATACCGGGTTCGGCGGGACGAGTTTGGTCGAGACTCATGCTGAGACGCGCACCGGCGCCGTCTTTTACCTGGTTGTAAGTCATTATCCCCCCCCCCCTATGAAGCCGGAAACCAATGCCCAAAAAGAGAGGCAGCACAAGACTTACACAAAATCCACTCAGAACCAAAACGCAGACGGCCTCGTGGGCGCAGGCATCGCCAAAGTAGACGTCCTCTTCGGGACCCCCACCGTGACCAAACGCTACGGCGACCGCGGCTACTGGTGGGACGCCAAAACCACGCCCCGGTACGGCGACATCGCCGCCTTCCGCGACCCGTGCTCCGAGTACATTTACGCCTGGGGCGGCCCGCCGACTACAATCACCGACTGGGGCCAGAGCAGCTACGTCTACCTCGCTCGCGTCAACGCCAGCCAGGCGTTCAACGTGAGCAACTACGAGTACTACTGGGGCCGCCAGCAGGGGTGGAAGTCGGATGTCTTGACGACTTTTAACGCCGAGACGGCGACGGTGTGGGGCACGGGACAGGGGCAGATTGTGTGGAATGAGCATTTCAAGTGTTATATCTTTGTTCACCTAGGTATGTTTTTCTCATCCTGTGGTCTCTGAAATGTAGGCTCAAGACTGACTTTACTAAAGGCATCGGTGGCGGCACCGTCTTCTTGCGTACTGCCGCAAAGCCTGAGGGCCCCTGGACGCCAGACGTCAAGATCTTCCAGGCTCAGGCCATTGATGGCGGGCTCGTCTACGCTGGCGTCGCTCATCCGTATCTAGATCCCACCGGCAGGACGCTGGTCGTCTCTTTCACGAACAACAACAGGATCCAGGTGCTCAAGGTCACCTTCTCCAAGTGAGGCTCAATAGTCTTGACTCTTCATACGCCGCACATGAAAACTTCAATTCTTTCACAGACATTCTTCTACTCTTTTTTTTTTCTTTTTTTCCACGTACATAGTTTTCGTATCCTCTGTACGGATATGATAAAATAACCTGGGAAAGCTAAACCTAAGCCGGCGAGAAAACGATTGCGGGCAACATAACCAAGTTCAATTCTAATCCGAGAGCTCGAAGCCTTAGATACAGCCCCCGTGATAGCTCCTATCACAATAAAACATCCACTTTTAGTAGACCCATGTATACAAAGCGCCAGCCGCTAGATGAGAAAGTGCCATTGCCCTCCATGGGGATACCCCTCCAGACACAGCATTGACAGGAATGGCATGAATCAACAAAAGAAAATAATCAATTACGAGCCATTCGAGGCCTTGGGCCGTTCTGGTACCGGCACAGTCTAATACCCAATGGTACGCCCCTCCCAAAGTCAAGTAATATCAAAGCCGCAATTTTTTACGTAGTCAGCGATGCCCAAAATGCAACATTCAAGTCTCTCGGCCGGATCCCAGGTGATCGCCCCAAGCAAACCGACTTCAGTCCGATTTCTACATGTAATATCCTTGTCAGCATCGTCTATCGCAGATTGTGGAAGGGTCTCTGCTCGGAAATATGAACATGCCTTGAACGAGGACCCCAACGTTGATCGTCACCGCCCTCCGCTTTGACCCGGACGTCGTAGTCTGGTTGGTAGAAGTGCTCTCCAGCCCAAATATATCGCCAGCAAGACTGGGGTCCAGGGGCATCTGGCTAGAAGCCGCGTCGCTAGACTGCCCAACAGATCGTGTATCGCCCAAGTGTATATCAGACGGCCTCGTCGGTTTCAAAGTCTGCCCAAGCCATTGCCTGGCAGCGGCGTCTCCAGGGCTCGTTCCGTAACTGCTGAAGATATCGGAGGCGTTGTTAATGCTGCTGCTGCTGTTGCTGTCGAGTCCGCTGCCGAGAGCGCGTCCGGCAACCGCCGTGTCATCCGAAAAGTCTGCTGGATTGATCTCGGCCGTGACGAAATCCGCAGCGGCGGGAATATCAACTCCTCGTCTCCGAAGAACCCATTCGACCTCGTCCGCATCGTAAAAGTCGCCTTGCAGGCCTGGGACGTTCATTCGAAGTCTCGCGGCGGCACGTTCCACTCGTAGGTCTCGCATCTCTTCCGTCGGCGCATCCCACGGCCCCATGCCATAGAGTGAGTCGACCTTTTGCCGATACGGCTCGGCCGTCCCCTGGTTTCCCACCGGATTCCTCTGTTTGTGGCCGCTCGGGTACGCCATCTCATCCAAGTCATTCATCTCGTCGAACCACGTGCCCCCGCCCCCTAGGTGTAAAAATGGAAACTTCCAGTTAAACATTGTTTCCCGTTGGTTGACACTGAGACGGTTAGCGATCCGCTCCACGATCCTCTCTTTGGGCTCGAAAAGTAAACTGAAACCGAAGGCGCTGTTGATGAGGCTGCTCGGCGGGTTGGGCATGCGGAGCAACGTGTAAGCCTTTTCTAGAGTTGATCGTTGCAGACGCCGCCCAAACGTCCGCTCCTGGTGGGCATAGGAGGTCGGTGAAGAGAGAATGTTAAATAGGGATTCAGAGAAGGGCTGGTTGGCGAGTAGATCGAAAGTGCCTGGTTGGTCCAGGCTATGTTCATAGGACATACCGAATGGGAAACTAGCATTATCCGGCGTCGGTTCCGTCACAATCTCGTAGCCCATTGGAGCCTGGGATAGTGTCGAGTGCGGCATATGTGACTGACTATCCGGCGCCCAAGATGTTGTGTGCACCGCAGTCATCGCATGTGTTCGAGGTGTCGACCGAAGCTGGTGCTGCTGCGGCTGCTCGCTTGACAGAGCATCGTATATGACTTGCTCAATCGGCTTAGCAATTTCGGCAGATGGCGACTTTTGGTTGCTCCTTTCTCGCCCACTGGCAGGGCCGTCAACATCCTCGGCGTCTCCATCATTTTCCTGGCTTGGAAGCACGTCGCCTTCCTTTTCTGGCTCCTCGCTCGTCTTCCTTGCCAAAGAAACAAACTTTTCTGTCGTGGCCTGAAGTTGTCGTCCAAATTCGGGCGTGCTCTCGTGCATGCCTTTGCTAACGGCGAAGTCATAGAGTTTCATAAATTCCTTGCTCATTTCTTCATTGGTGCGTCTCAACTCGTCGACCTTCTTCTCGAGCGATTGAATCGCTGTTTCCTTGCGGTTGCGGTAGGCTCTCTGAGCGAGCCGAATTTGTGTTCGACGACGCTATGATGGTTAGAAGGGGTTGACTGAGGGGGCAGGTGTAAGATGAGGGAGGTAATATCAACTGGAACAAGTTTTCGTAGCAAAGCTGCAAAAGGGGTGTCAAGTCAGGAGTCAGTTGCCAACTTACGTCCTTTGCGGTCTCATCATTGGTATCTAGGCGTGGTCTTCCCCTTGACCGCTTCTTTTCCTCCTCATCAAGTTCTACTACCTCTGCAGACTGGGCCTTTGACCGTTTCTTGGAAGATCGTTTTGGTTCCTCACTGGTGTCGGCACCAGGTTTCCCCCCGGTGGGCAGACTTCTTGGTGCGCGAAAGCCCGACATACCATCGTCGAAAGATTCGGCGTTGAGGATGGACAGCCCGGGGTTCTGCATGAATAGTGCCGGGTAGCCGCCGGGGTATTGAAGGACCCCAGTATGGCGATGTTGGAGGAGGTCGTCGCTGAGGAGGTGGTTGTGATAGAATGGGTGGGCGGGTCCCGCCACAGGTCTGGACAAAGAGAAATCCACAGGGCGCTCCGGGGCGAGATGTGCGGATTCTAGGCCCGAAAACTGGATCGGGGCTAGTTCGCCAGGATTTGGGGGCAATTCGGGGTCTGCGTAAGCAAATGGTACAAAGCCGCTTTCGGTGGGTGCTTGGAGCTGAGCCTGGAGAAGCCGTGGGTCGTGTGGATGGCAAAGCAAAGACGATGTGTCTGGAGAAGAAGAAGCAAGGGAGGCTGGCTGTACAGAGTCCGCCGGCGAAGGGTGTGGAAATACTTGGTGTTGATATTGATGCTGTTGGCTCAAGTCTTGCGGTGATTGGTGATTATGGGGTACACAATAGTGTTGTTGGGGTTCGTGAAAGACTGTCAAGTACTCCTGATCTTGTAAATTACGGTAATACTGTTCCTCTGCATTCAGTTGCTGGCGAGTTTGCGTCAGGTGCGGACGCACATGTGTATATGAAGGGTGAGAGAAGAGAGGTAGGCGGGATGCTGAGTAAAGGACAGTAGATTCGGCGCCGGTTGAACCACGTTCTTCACGGGATGCTGCTGTTAACGGGCCCGGATAGTTGTAGGTACTGACACTAGCGGAGCAGCCTTTCTCTTGTTGCTGATCAATAACTTGTGGCCGGCGACTTGCCAAAGGTCGTTGGGGAAGCGGTCGAGAGAAAGTTGAAAAGCCGTGTCTACCTTGCTCACGAGACCCGCTTGCGTGATGGGTCTGTCGGAAGGGAGGAGGTTCGTCGAGGTCGTCTGCCGTATCGGACGGCGTATCGAGGCCGCTGGGACGGGAATGATTACTCATATCCGCCGAGTAGGAAGTGGGTGCGCCGGTAGTGATGTGGATCCGTAAACTTTAAAGATGCCGACTAACGCCTTCAATCTCGGCAGACACGAGTTTGTGAGTGTGGCACACCGACTAAGCTTAGACTATTGTTAGGGTAAGATAGCCTCACCATCGCGCCGGGCTCCGGGGACCTGTGGTCAGGCACCGTCAGCCATGCAGAGCTTCACAACAACACTCGTAAATCCCGGGCAGAGGCGGGCCCAAAAGAAGGTAGCAGAACGAGATTAAAAAAGTATATGTGTAAAGCAGCCACTTGGAACCATTCAAATGGGGCTCAAGGTTACGAAAACGTAGTTGACTAGATTGCGGCTAATAGAACAGCTTGAAGTCACAAGTGGATCGTGCTTTGATAGAGGTACGACCGGTAAAGATTAGAAGACTAGTCCTCTCCAATACAGTTCGACCTTTGACGAGACAACTTAGACATGTCCATGACACGTTCACAGTCTGGGTGTGTCTGAGGCGGATCGTACTTGATTTAAGAAAGACAATTTGGCGCCACTTCCTGTCAACACTGACGAAACCCACCAAGGATAAAAGAAAAGCAAGAACAACTGAAGAGGCGTTGGAGTACACAGCCTGCCACGGTCATGGTGTGGGTAAAGTCTCCCGCCTTGAGGGTAGAACGCCGACTCGTTCCCCAATCCAAGGATACGGGTGACACCGTGGGACAGGACGATCAGCTGTGGCCAGGCCAGCCTTGTGGGTGAGGCAAGTTGAGTGTGTTGGATTGCCATTGAAATGCCAGGGCCTGTCGGAGAGAGAGAACAATGAAGAATCCCGCGAAGCAGGGAATAAGACGGCCAAGAGCTGCATGATTGGATCGCGGGACTGGGGCGAGAAGGAATTGAGAGGGCTTTTGGTGAGCCTTGTTTTCTTCGCGGACCCCGTAGAAGGGAACTAGAGTGGGAGAGATCTGCGGTTCGCAGATGGGCGCAAGTGCTGCACCTATGCAGGTGAAGGATATCCAAAACCACATCTGCAAGGAAACATCGCGGCCTCGACCTGGTAGGTAGTGACGAGAATGCGGTAACATGGCATGGGTGGTGCTGTGGTGGCCAACCTCGAGTTCTCGACCCGAATTATGTCAGTTCGAGATCCCGGCGCGCTGGTCTAACGTGTGAAACTGCAAGTGATCAAAACCCGTACCCAGCTGACAAGCCATTCGATTGGACCGGGGACCAGCGGCAGAGAAGCAGGTCGAGATCCATTGCAAACATGGTCGCCTGTGCATATGTATCCCGCCTGCCAGCCTCACTCTTGGGGCATGCTCACTTCATGAGGGGCAACGATCGCCATCAACTCACGCCATAATCCCGACCGGAGGTTTTTGCATCCCTGAAGGCGTCAAGTAGGATGAGAACGAAAAAGCAAAAAAGCAACCATCGCTTTCGATTTGAGAAAGGTTATCCCCTTTTCTCAAAGAACCATTGACGAAACGGCCCTCGGATGGCTTTGTTTGGTAGGGTAAAACTTGGCGGGTGAATTCGAGAGATCGTAAAGTCTGCACCATTGGGAGCATGCATTACCTTTACTGGCAAAAACCACAAAACGTGGGTGTAAAGCGCCGACGCGTGGTGTGCACGCAGTGGCGCATGCATCATTCGGGATTGATTGGGCCATCTTGCATTGGCAACAGCCTCATGATCTCTGCTCAGCTGAGGTTGATGTGGGATCGTCATGGCATCTTCTTCGACTGGAGAAACTCAGATAACAGCTTCTTGATTGAGAGAGTTATTCGCGGTTGGGTTTCTGTGTTCTTCCAGCTCTTTCGGTTTCGGGGCCACCAGAAGGCAAGCCAAATGTTGGAAACAATGTCGAGCTAGAAGCTAAGTATTCGAGCATAGACAGACAGTATGCCGTTCGAGGATTGATGATCATTGGGAGCTGTGCATAGCGAGACGGAGAAGAGAAGGAGGAGGTTTGGTGGTAGGCATGCCCTGAGCCAGACACGGTCCATTCGGTCCGTCCCCCGTATCCTTGTCAGACCCCTTCTTTGTCTGCAGCCCCCGGGGTGAACCTCAAGGAGTTTTCAGGGTTCTGGAGAGCGTGCGACAAGTTCATCATTATGACCGCGAATAGGGAGTAAGGGTGTGGCAACCCCCGCGTGTCCGATGCGGATTCTGTCAAACACCAGCGAGATCGTGTCACTGCAGCCATTTCGGGTGGTTCGCGAGGGGTCAGCCACCCGCCTTGTCTAGACCGATACACCGATGATCTCAGCCGAATAGATACGTGCGGCCGGTGTCTCGACCGCGCAACTTTTTCGGTACGTCGGCGGCTTTCTGTGATGGTGGCCTTGCGTCCAACGGACAGAATGTTGGGATCCAAGGCCATCCGAAAACCCGTCTCAGTATCCTGGCTGTAAAGGGTCCCAAATCTAGGTTATTTGAGATTCCAATGACAGACGCCGACTTTGATTCGACCGACGTTGTCAGGTACCTTATGATACGTTCTGAACAACAGCTTGATTCGATAACAAGCAAAGTAATCTTTGCTTTGAGAATCGGAAAGCAGTGATGGCATTCGTTCATGATTTGATAGGTACCTTACCAACATCAATGTCTTGCCCTGGTGTAATTCAGCAGTTAGTTACTCCGTATATTGTACTTGAGATGAGGTCAATCCCGATAAGAATCGATAAGAGCCGATTAGATAAGGCGCCCATTTGTCAACCTATGCACCTCCCCTCCAGAACATGACGATCGCAAAGCTCAAGCTTCACCAACACCAACAATGTGACCGCAGCTCGGGGAAACGACGCCTCCCTTTCCGCGAGGATGCCGTCCCACTTCGTACCAGCTCAAAATTCCCGTCATCGTATCGCCGCAATCGCCCTCTATCGTGCTCTCGTCCGCGAGGCTCGCGCCGTGCCACTCCCCAACGATGTACTCCGCAAGGGTGTCGAGAACCCACTGCCGCGGCTCGTGAAGAAAGGCTTCAAGCGCAATCAGACGGAGGCGAGCTACCGCCTTGTTCTTGCTGCGCTATCTAAGGGGTACAAGGTGCGATACTCTTGCACTTTGCTCGCAGCGCCTTCTCGTACTGACAGTGCTTCAAATCAAGTTTCTCAACCTCTTCAAAGGTGCCCAGACCCCATCGTCAAAAGAGCACTCCGAAATCCTTACGTACCTCCGCGAAAAGAGCCTTCGTGATGCGAGATCAGAAGCAGGCAAACCGCCGCCGCTCCCGCCGAAAATCGAGCGCCCAAAGCCCAAATGGCCACCTCTGCTCAAACGCATTTCCCCCCTCGACGAACCACCCGTCTATATCTCCGAGCGCCACCCTGTGCCTCGCGAGGAACTCTCCGGCATACGGCACGTCCCTAATGTCGCTGTGACCGCACATGGCGTCGTCTTTCTACGCCAGGGCAAGCCGCAGCACCGCTCCGTATGCGACTATGTCCAGAAGAAGAACAAGTACAAGATTAAGAACATGGATCATCTGCTCGCCTCGATGCGCGATGAACAACAGTTTGCGAAGGAAGAGGACCAGTGGGATGGGCACCTCCAGAGCGAGATCAAATCACAAAAGAGGGTGGTGGAGAGGCTGGTCAGGTTGCGGCAGAGAATCGAGCAGCCCCTCGCAGACCTTCCTGATTGGGTTGAGAAACCAGGTTTCGAAAGGGTAGGAACACTCGAACCCTATGTCTATGAAGAGAGTTACACCAGCAGTGTAGCTGCTACATACGATGACGCCAGCAAGAGGTTGAGCGATGACGCGGCGGATCAGTCTGCGAGGGCAAGAGCGTTTCTGGAGATCCGCGAGGCGGAAAAGAAGGCCTTGGAGGAAGACAACGAGTATTACCGAGAAAAGGGCTATAAGTGGATGATTGACACACCATATAAGAAGAAACAAAGACGGGTTGCGAAGCGCAAGAAGGGCGGTCAGGACAGATTCGAACGCAGGGCGGTACGCCAGGACAAGGCGCGAAAGAGCAATTTCGTCGGCCTTAGCCCTGCCCCCATCCAGGTTTGAGTCGCTTTTCTCTGGATGAAATCTGTTTGTCTTCATACTGTACTATACTTCTAGATATTCCCCATGATACCAATACGGAACGGTGCGGCATATGATGGCTACGCGACATCGCTGCGGTATTAGGCCATGCCAAAGAGCGCACACTGCTACATCTGTAAGTGACCTCCTTGCCTGATTCGCTCTTTTCGTAATCTAGGGCTTCTTCTATTGAGCCGACTTTGAGGTAGTTCCGTCTATCGTTCCTGTTGAACACTGTGGTCGGTCCCATCGCTCGCCACAGGCGCCGTAGGGAACCCCCTCACCTTGATGTCTAGTCAGCCCAGAACCAGACGACCTAACGCTCAGCCTTACCTTCAAAGAAGTTTCCAAACCAAACGGTTCCGTTGAAAAGCTTGAGTCACACAACTCAAAAAGTAGCCTATCCATAACTCTGGGCATCTGTAGGTAGGCACCCGGGTAGGCTTCAGCCATCTGTGTCAAAGGGATTACTTATAAAAACAAGTCCTACCCCCAATTTGTTTCTCTCCCCTCTCCCAGAATATTTCACACAGAAACAACACACAGTACACAAACATTACAACCACTACAACCAATACAACCAATCTGGACAGAAACATGGAGGAACAAACACCCAATACGTTCAAATTCACCATCGCGCACTCGACGCTGCCACTTGAAGCCATCGGCAAGGGCTTCTGTGGCTCTGTGTGGTCCGCGGGTAGCCTCGCTATCAAGCGGGAGGATGGCGGTCCAGGTCGTTCTATCGCAAACGAATACACCATGCATCGCCACATCGTCCGAACCTTGGATGATACCAGCCTTCTCAATGTACCTCACTGCGAAGGCTTCTTGAAACACGAGGCGACTGCCTGGGATCAAATGCTCCCAAGATTTCCCGCCGGGTATACAGGCTGTAATGCACTGATCAGCGAGAAGATTCCACCACTATCTCGCGATGTTCGCAAGCTGTTGGCCCAAAAGTTTCACCCAAACGTGAATCCGGATGAGATTGCCGATAGCTCAACAAACAGCCACTGTCTCGCTCGGCCTTACTTGGGGCGCAGAAAGCTCCGGAGTACAGACACCAATCAAGATCGGCCTAGACTGAGATTCTTCAGTCTAAGAAACTTCCCACTTCACGTCGATCAGATGGAGACTCTCAAGCTGGATCTTGAAGGGTACGCCGTAGCCATGGCAGAGGCTCTCGCATTCCTGCACTGGTCCGCAAAAGTTGACGCCAATGACGTTGAGTTTGTGCTTGCAAACCCAAGGACAGGCCATGTGCCACCCAGCGCAGCCCCCACGACATCAAGCTTTGGTCCTGCAGTCTTCCATTCAGATGAGTTTGGCCCTCATGCTATGTGGATCCTGGACTTTGATTGCTGCAGGATAATGACAATGGACGACAACGGAATCAAGCAAGCTTGCAGAAGCTTTTGGCGGAACGATCCTTACTATCCGCGGCCTGGCAGCAACAACGCAAAGGATCAGGAACTCTGGGCTGTATTCCGGACTCACTTCCTGACCGCTAGCGAGAGAATTTTGGAGGGCAAAGAGGAAGATGTGCGTCGGCTGCCATTGAAATTGATGGAGTGTATCGAGGAGACAAGGGGAAGGTTCACCAAGGGAACAGGTTTCTGGTAGGGTGGGCTAGGAGGGTCTAGCAGCATATTCGTGTGTGAATCAAAAAAAGAAGGCAGAGATGCAGAAAGTGTCTGCTGCCTGTAGGATTCCGGTTGCTGAATAAATTTCGTTTGCCGTTTCCGAGTTTTCTTTCTCTTGACTACAGACTGTTTATCACACAATACAATATGTGGCGTCAAAGATTCCGTTGCAGAGTCCTTGCCATATTTTTTTCATCAATGTTTCTGCGAACAACCTGCGGTTTCTAAGCTGAACCAGGTACCAAGCTGAGGAATCAAGGTTGCTAAAAGAAAACTTCGAGAATTGAGACTTCTTCGCACGGGTTTGTCTCTTCACCATGAGGCCTATACCATCATACTTCATCTGATGACCATATACTTAAAGGATGGACCATTTCCTGAGGTTGTTGTCGCTGATTCTTGATTCCATCATCAGTTGCCGGCTCTTCATACTGATGTAAGGTAGAGCACTCTGTCAGTGGTAACGCAGCACTGGTTTCGATCGTATTGACTCAGATAACTTAGGATCACCTCAACCCCCTTCGCGAAGATGGACGATCCTTCGAGACAAGACTCTTCCCGCCTACCCAAGGCCTTCGAAAAGCGTCGTCAGCAGAAACAATCGGACGCGACTGCGGCTTCTTCAAGGGCTGTCTCCTTGGAACAGGCCATGATAGCTAACCTTCACCTCGAAGAAAGGCTTGAAGCTGAGTCTAAAGGAGAGCCAATCGAGGCCTGTCTTAAGCGAATGCTTTCAACCAAGTCAACAATCTCTACGGCTTCGTCTTTTGCGAAGCGTCAGCAAGCGTCGGTTGGCGTCGCTGCAAAATTCCGGGAGATCGGTACAGGCTCCATCGGCAAAGTGTTCGAGCATCCCGGCACCACGTTCGCCTACAAGCTGTCTCTCACGAAGCAGCATGATAAGTTGTGGAACAACTACATCATGCACAAGCGAAGTGAGACCGCGTTCAATTCGCTTAAGTTCTATCCTGCCTGGACAGGTCGAAATTCCCAGATGTTTCTGGTTCGCCACGCCGACTACCCAGGGCTTCTGGGGAGAGAATCTCGACCTGTTTCCAGATGTATCTGGATTTCCCCGCAAGCCGAAACAAATTCTCTGTATGGAAAGGATCTTCCCTCTTCCGAAGCTCGTCCGTCAGTGTCTAATTGAGAAGTTTGGAATGTCTTTCCACAAGAGGTCCGATCGATGATTCTAGAGGCCACCTTTGAGATGCAATCCAAAAACACGCCGCAGAAAAAAAGCCTCCTAGCCTCCGTTTCTGCGGAATGGCAAACATCTTTCGAGAAGCGTAACTTCAAGTATTTAGCGCTTACGCGGCTTCAAGACATCACGATGCTCGAAGACTTCGTCGGTCCTCGTCGTCAGATGTACGTTAGTGAGATCTGGCTCCATGTGCTCTTAGCACCATACACTTCTGGAGAGCTCTGCGAGGAGGAAGACGAAGAGATATTGCACAACAATGAAATTCTCGACGAGCACTTGGAATCTCTTTTTAGGACGCTTTCAAAATGGCAACTAGGCTACGGCAATGAGAAGAATTCCGGTGTTCATCTCCATTTCAGTGCTGAGGCGTCTGATGACTACGACAATCTATTCAGGAGTAATGATCCTCTCGGGGAACTCTACTATGATCTCGAGCTTGCTGAAGTCTTGGGGGCAAACAAGCGTATTATGGGAAATCTTCTCGACTTTGAAAATGAAACCTCCGCATCAAGCCTGACAAGCCCGGCCGAACCTGGGTTCCCTGCGGTTCTGAGGGTTCCGATAGTCAAAGAGTTCAGCATTAGAGACGAACTCTACCGAAGTTTATCAGCAGGAGCCATTCGCTTTCTTCTTCTCAGCTTGGACAATCTGGAAACCATTAAGTACACATCTTGGCGGGGCATTGACAGAAGAGACAGATACCAGCGAGATAGGGCAAATGTGGCTCTGCTTGAAAGTCTCCCACCTACGGCAAAGAGTGTCAGTTCAAGGGAGGCTCGACATGACAAGTTCCATGGGCCGTTCGACGAGCCTGGTCCCAGCCGCGATATTGCTCGGGTGGCCGTACTGGCATGCTTTCATCTAGTTTCCTTCAGCTCGCTGTCTGTTCTCGACGCCATGCATTTCTTCAATGAAGTTATTCAACTATCCATGCCGCCGATGATGGAATATCTCGACCGCTGGTCATCTCTCGAAGCGGTGGCCCTCACGTCTCCCTTCCTTAATTCAAAGCTAGATGAGGCATACACTCAAGGCCTACTTCAACAAGCAGCTGCGGCCGCAATGCACTTGCCAAATCTCAAGGTCATGGAACTGTGGCAGACCTGGAAGCCTGCGGCGATCCTGTTCCGTTACGAAGTGTCGGGCCACACAGTCGAGGTCTCGTATGGCGCATCATGGGATCTGAAGTTGCATCAGGATATTTGTGATGGATGGGAGGTGGCGAAACATCATGGAAATCTCTTTTTTGATATTCAGCTCAAGGTACTCGACATTCCTGCCAGTGCTGATATCGATGCCAAGCTTCGTGTCAATTCATATTAGAGGGAAAGTGTCGGACCAATTTTCTAAGCGTCTATATTTGCCTACAAGTATAGCTTCTTTGTAATGCTGCCCATCCATTTAATAAACAGCTTAATGGCCTTCAGTCTTTACAAAATCTTGACTGAGCCACCATTAGCAGCAATGACACTTCCATTGATCCAGCGCGCCGCCTCGCTCACAACCAGACCCACAACTTTGGCAACATCATCTGGAAGTCCGACTCCATTGTGAATTGATTTCCCCTCGCTCAGAACCCTCAATGCGGCTTCGCGCATATCCGGCGATGCACTCCCAGTGAGCGCATCCGTCGCCGTACCACCCACTGAGAGGGAGTTCACTGTAGTTCCCAGCGTCTTTGTGTCCTGGCTCAGAATATCTGCCCAAGATCGGGTCAGGGATTCCATTGCTGATTTGGTCGATGCGTACAACATGGCACTTGTATAGTTAGCATCTATGCTATTATCCGAGATCGCTAAGGTCTTCTTGTTTGACTGTAACTCACTAAGATGCTGCTGCAGTACGGGCCCAATCGCTTGAGATATTGACAACTCGAGATTCCGGCTGGATGTAGTCTCGTCTTAGAAGCACGTCCATTGTCAGAACCAAAGACTGCACATTGCCCAACAAGACCCTCTGGATGAATTCAGCATCAAGCTCACGGACGGACCGTGCCTCAAAGTGGGTTGCATTGTTGACAATAATGTTAAGTTTGCCGTCGAACTCGTTCTGTACTTTGTTGGCAATCGTTTCAGCCAGGTCTGGCGAAAGAAGGTTTGCAACTAATCCCGTGATCTTTGGAGCGTCGAACTGGCTCGATTGGTAGCCCTGTTGAACCGCCTCTTCGAGAGATTCGATTAGATTAAGTGATTCAGTCGATGCACAGGTACCAAGAATGTTTGCTCCGCGACTGGCAAGGTGGATTGCTATGGCGCGGCCAATACCGCGAGAAGCACCTCTGTCACCACCATTAGTAAAACCTGGACTGCCCAAACGAAACTTTGCAGACTCATAGACCAGTTACAAGAAATCACTAAAGCTTACGTTACCAGGGCATTTTGACCTCGAAGGTCTTGAGGGAGAAGAATCATCTCCTTGCTAGTTTGGGGCGCTGTGGTGCTCATCTTGGCAACTCCAATGTTTTGTCAGTTGGAGTTATGGTGCTGTGATTTCTGATGAATACTTTTCGGAAGAAAGACCTGTCTTCAGGTACCAATATAAGCATAATTATAGATTCCTTAGCCTGAGCAGTCAAAGAAGGCTTACAAACAGAGCAGTTGACTATCTGGCACTTACAAATCCGACAACCCTCTTCGCTATTCCAGCGGACGACGAAGTCGCGAGAGAACCACTCAACGGCTCATAATACTAGAGCTCCAAAATTCATTTATGGGGCTACGTATTATCATTGCTGACTATTTTGCAGATTTGTATTTACGTCGACTCGTGGTTCGTCTGATGACGTCCGTTCCGCTTAGTAGCCGAATCGGGCCGTCACGGACTTCAGTATGCAATTGAGCCGAGTCATCACAAGTTCACCTCTCGATTCAGACCACAGACGGTAAATTCGTTCCATTGGATCCCAGAGACCAAGCAGTATAACGTAATTTTTCCACATTCTCCGTAGCGGCAACCATTGTTCCAAAATCCGAATCTATCCATTGTAATCCGAGACCCGGTTTGACGCTCTACGGACACCCCCATCGGGTTCTCGTCATCTTAGCGAATGAAGAAATCGTTTGAGATTTACACACCTCAAGGACTAAAAACATTGAACGCTCGAGCAGACTGCGCAGATGTCATCCCACTAAAGTTCCTCTCTGCCGTGTTCCATCCGGGGCATCTTAAGCTTAAAACCGAGACGCGAGAGGGAAAGGCTTCGGTGCTGTCTAGTTGGTGAAAGTTTTGGGATCATATCAGACTTGTATAAATAAGTTCCCGGTTCGCGGTATCAAAAGAGAACAATATCCCCACATTCACCTTGAATATTATCAAGCATCATCCTCCACTGCCAACATCACGATGTCTCATGAGACTCAATCATCGACGCTCGCTACATTGCATCTTCTGACTCAGACGTTGAGCCAGGGATCAGTTATCACACCGGATGATCCGTCATACAAGCTTCACTCGGAGCCGTTCGCCATTCAAAAGCAGCTTTACCCGTCAGTGGTTCTCGTTCCAAGCACCATCGAAGAGCTTTCCTCTATTGTGCGTTTTTTATACTCCTCGAGCTTAGAGTTTGCTATCCGCGGTCATGGATTCAAATCACCTTCCGCCAAAGATGTAATCATTAGCATGCTGAACTTCAAGAGCCTGGAGTATGACTCAATCAGAAAGATTGCTACAGTTGGCGCCAGTGCGACTTGGGAAGAGGTAGTGGGGTTCATGGAACAAGTTGACCCCGAGTACTCAGGTAATGGCAGTACTGTGTAGGCAACAATACCATCCAAGCTAACCAGACTCAGTACCTGCGGCCCGGACACCTAGCATTGGAGTCACGGGATCCATCCTGAATGGTGGCCTTTCCTGGGTGTCCTCCGAGTATGGTGGCATCAGCGATCCCATCAACTTCCTGGACGCAGAAGTCGTCAAGTACGACGGCAAAGTTGTCATGGCATCTCAGGAGCCAGGTCTTCTCTGGTCCCTACGGGGCGGTGGCGGCGGCTTTGGCAGTAAGTACACTATCCTAGCTTGCCTCAAAATTCTTGATCATCTTAGCTAACTGAAAACCAGTCGTAACCAAGGTTCTTCTCCGAGCACATCCATATCCAACTGACATCTGGTCGGGGATTGTGCTACTGCCTCGTCATCTCCTAGCGCAGATGATTGACGAGGTGCTCAAGTTCAATCACTCTACGCCCCATCCCAAGGTCAACTACTTCATGTACTTGATGCCCCAGCAATTGCTGCATACCGTTCTGGAGACACCTGAGCCCGATATTGGCGACATGGTCATCTTCCATGTGTACGACGCCTTGGGTGAAGAGCATGGTCGGGCTACGTTCCGCTGGGTTCTTGAAAAGCCCGGGGCAATTGACCGGACAAGGGTAACCAACATGAAAGGCGTTCTCAACATGCAAAGTAAGACGCTCTCATATGCCCCATAGAACATCAAGTTAACCCGATTCCCGTACTAGGAAATGCAAACGTCATGCGAGGCACAATGAAGACGCTTTACGCGCCAATGGCAGTGTCCGATTTGGATCGCGTCACAATCACGCGAGCGATTGAAGTCTATGACAACATAGCGAAGCTAGACCAGACTATTCACGACATGTCTTCAGTTATTTTCGAGTTCTTGTTGCTTGTAGGTTCTCATTCCATCTCGTCGACGTCCTCCTACTGATAAGTCGACTTACAGCGACCCCCAATTGGCGGTACGGCAGAGGTTGCATGGCCACGATCCAACAACTTGAACCACCTTCTGCTTTTTATCATAAGCTGCCCGGGGAGTGGCACAGACGAACAAGAGAGACTCATTCGTCAAATCTCGAACGATGCGCCTGGTCAGGTTTTGGGCCCAGAAACTCGGGCGGAAGTCAATCCTGCTGGGCTCGAGCCATCCTACCACGACGTGAAAGGGGTGAGTAATTGCAGCTGATCTCTGGGTTTCTCGATTCGGTATTTTTCTTCTGACGATTCGATAGGTATACCGGGAGCATTATGAGAAGTTGGTGGAGTTGCGGCGTCTTTATGATCCCAAAAAGCGCTTTCAATCGTTCTTCTAAGTAGCTTCTTCGGGCAACTTTAAGCAATCATGTTGTCTGTGAAGAGAATTCAAGTCTTTCTCAAGCTCAGTTGACCTCTATCTTCACTAATGTGACACGTTCACGGGGCAGATTTAGGGAGAACTAATACTACTTCAGTCAAGCCCCATGATCGAAATTTCGTGCACGTAAGTCCACAAATTGAAACTTCTCATATTTTGAAGAAAAATATGAGGTGCAGAAGATACTACTAGATGAACACATACGGAAGTGAGAGCTCTCCGCTGTGAATAACTGAGTAGTGCTCTACTGAGTCGCTTCAAGTGTGACATGCAGAGTCGAGTCAGGGGTGGGGACGGGCTTTTGACTCGCACCCGCGGCTTACAACTTTGTTGATGTTGACTCCTCAGTGGCGTTACGAAGCCCGAGGAGCGAAATAATATTGGCTTCGTTGCATAAATATGGCTGATTATACGCAGCGTTAGGACTTGAGACATTGAGACAAGCAGCGTTCTCAAAAGATTCGACACCGCATCTCCTTTCGAACGACAACCTTTATAATGACTTCAACGTTCGCGCTTAGACCCCAGCCCTACCTAGACATTGACAAATTCTCACCAATCATGTAGACCCGAACAGCAGTTTGCGGAACTCGCCAAGATCGAGGGTCATGTAGAGGAGACCACTATCGCAAGCGTCTACGATCAGCTGAAGCCTGTCGCTCCAGAGCTGCTAGTTGGCCAGTGGGAAGGAGGCAGTTTCAATACGGGACATCCCACGCATTTGCAACTTCACAACTTCAAATGGGCGGGTAAAGACTTCCGGTCCGTCGATGATGTAGACCCAATCATGCGATACGAAGAAGACGGCAAACGAACATGGTTTTCTGACTACGGCCATGCGCGGGTGAGTGCATCTACCCTGGGCACTTGTCATTGAAGATATAGCTAAGCGAGATACCAGGTTCGAGAAGTTAAGTTCAGGGGTGTTGTGACTGCAGCAATGGTTTATGACAAGTTCCCCATTATTGACGCATTCCGTTACGTGGACGAGAACACTGTGGTTGGTGCCATGGACAACAAGGAACTTCAGCAATCTGGGACATACTACTTTTACTTGAGAAGAAGGACCCAGAGCAAGGCCTAGCTAATTAGACTATAAAACTACTTTATGTAGATCATCCTTTAGTCCGGGGCCCCGCAGACGATCCCCAGAATACAAATACCACCACAGACCTGGTGCGTGAGAAAGTTTGCGACTATTCTATTGTTCTAGTGAAATGAGTGGCTGGGACTGCAATTAGTTTGGAAAAGGAAACCATCTCGTACCGCGTGCTACCGAGGATCCGAGGTCACTTGCCTCAACATCTTTGTTCCCCCGCATTCTCATCACAACTCGTCGGACAAGCCCCACCTACGTCACCCCGAACCCACCGTTTCATACGATTTCTTCATCTGCTGAGTAACAAGTGAACTTCAATTTGTCGCATACACTGCACGATACCTCATCTGCAATCTTGAAAGACAAATGGAAATGACGAGCACGCCTACGACTTCTTGCACACAGGATACAACTGCTCGATCACCCGGGCGGACTCCACAGACTGCTGCAACATCTCAGAGACTCAAGAAGAGAGAGTACGATCGGAAAGCTCAAAGAGTTGCTCGCGAAAAGACGAAGAACCGAATAGCTCAGCTCGAGAGCTTGGTCGAGAAGTTGAGCCAGCAGGATGACACCGCTACTACAGCATCGCTCATGGCGGAGTTGTCAAAGGTGACTGAACAGAGGAATAAACTCATGAGATGTCTCAAAACGACTTCTTCTTTGTTCAATGATCATGTCAAAGAGGCCGAATCATGGGGCTCAACTGGGATGATTTGCAACGTGCCGTCTCCGCCAAAACTGTCATCAACCAAAGAGGTTTCGCCGAAACATCCGAGCCCGGGATCCTCAATGTCCCCAGCGTATTCATCTGTCCCTGTCTTCGACAGCTCTGCCGACGAGGTTCTTGAGAAGGAAATAGGGGACGACATGGACAGCTTCATGGACGAATCTTCCCTTGATATCAACCAACTTCTGGGCGACTCAATGTTTCAGCCAAACTTTACAACACCCGTTTCATCGAAAGACATGAGTGAGTCACATATCACAGGCGTCGAGGTCGATACATCCACACCAAGGAAAAGTCTGCAACTCACAATAGAAACACGCCGAACAGCATCTAAATGCCACTGCTCGTCAACCAACAGATTGCGACGACTCTCGGATGGTTCACAAGTCAGTTGCAATAACTGGAAAGCGGGTAATGAAATCCTCCAAGAGCCATTTGCTCTCCCCGACGCTTCAATACGACTGGAAGGAGAGACAGTTGAGGATGTTCCTGTCCACGCCGTGCTTCACGGCTGGGACAGCTTGGCGCACACAGGAAGGATGACGCCTTTGTGGAAGAAGGTTCGCCAACTCGATGAACTATGTTTCTCGGCATGCGGGCAGGCAGAACGCTTGGCCGTTCTGTTCATCATCCATCTTCTTATGCGGGCATACGCCGATCCAACATTGGTGAAGTCTGCAGTCGTACCAATGTGGTATCTCAAATCGTAAGTGCAATGCATCTTCGATCCTGAAGGTGAGCATACGCTAACTCTATAAAGACCTTTACAGGAAATTTCTCATGATCCATCAGCTGATTACTTTGCCTGGTAAGTTGACTAAACTCAGTAAACGGCATGATGCTTACTTGGATTTGCGCAAAGGCCAGCCTTGAGGTATCGGTTCGCCATTGCGCCACACCGGTACTGTAGCAATCTGTTCTGGCACATGTTCAAAGAACATTTGCGAATAGTGTGGCCATACGACTTTCGTGACTGCTACATCAGGAACGTGCAATTGGGAACCTACGGCCTCTCGCCTCTCTTCAAAGAGAAGATCCATGACCTGAGGTCTTGGACAATGGCACCTGACTTCTTTGCCCAATTTCCCGAACTAATGCAGGATATACCAAAGTTTCCGGGTCAACCGTCTCCAGCAACCGCTCTACCATTCGGCCTGACGATCTCGCGCGATGTGGACGGGTCAAAGGCGGCAAGAGATGATGACGAAGAGAGAAGGAGATCTCCCAGAGCCGAAAATAGCACGAAGGAACACATCTTATTTCCCATATCTTCTCATGTAAGCGGCTTGTTTTTGAGCGAGCTCGGCATTGACGGCGTGACGGATTGCTTCGACTTCTGATATCTCGGATAGTAAGATATGCCTATGAGATCCTCGGGGATTTTGTAGCTGGGGCATCGCAGTGGCGCAGCGAATACGTGTCTGTACAGTCACTGTTTTACTAGAGCAAATATCCATGGAGATGTACCGCTCTAAGTCAGTACTCGAAAGTCTTGATAGTACTTTTCGTTGCCGTGCGGATAGACTACAAAGTGATGGATCGCGCTAGCAAGGGTGGCCCTGCAACACCAGCACCTCCGCGGGCCTCCGAGTCTCCACCGGATTTGAGTGTACGATGAGTCCGACTCTGTCGCACAATGAGACGAAACCTTAAATCACTGGACAAGCCTCACATCGAGGCAAATTTTGCCGTGCAAAGCCCCTGAAATACAGCCTCACAGTTTTCGTCATTTTGGGAACGACCGGGAAGGCCTCCGCTGAGCAAGACTGCCGACGGCTCCGGGGAGAGGTTGTCTGCCATATTTACTACTACTCAGAGACTTCATGAGAAAAGTCTCGTGTGCTTTCCCTCTCTCATCGAACCACCGTCAGATCATGTATCCAGGCAAGATGTTGCTTGGCCTACTTCTTTTTGGCATCGGACTTGCAGATGCTAGGCTATCTTCAGATGGCGTCTCCAAGGATCCAGGCCTTGCCCGGAACGTACAGCTACACCATCGGCAAACCAACGACACGATAATTCCTTTACGACGAGACTGCCCATTTAGTCCCTGGGATGAGCTATACATAACTGACTTCCTTCAAGAGCACTTCAACGACTTGTCAACGACTGATCACTGCTGGATCATCAAGGGCGTAGCAGGACTACATGAACTTCTTCAGAGAAATATCACGGCTAACCCCCTGCTCAACGTCACGATACCAACTTGTATACAGCTCAACGTTACGTCGAAAGGAAACGCCTTCTCTATTGACTTCTCAGATGACTCTTACAAGGTTAACGGTGTCGACGAAGATGACTTCGTGTTATTGACCTATGTGCATCGTGGGTTGCCTCATCCCCCCTAGAATCTATCGCAGGTATCTTACAGGCTCTAGTTGTATGCATGACTGCGGCGTTTTTCTTCTGTTATCCCGTCATTCTGGTACTAGCCTCAGCGCCGAACTTATGCATCATGATCGACCGCGCACTCCAAGAGCCCACGAAACGAAAGATGGAACGATGGCAGACAATCTTCACAGTCCTGCTCTTCGCTCCCCTGTCCATCGCGGGACTCGTTACGGGAATAGTCGCCATGGGAACCTCAGACCACGCAAGAACAGAGCACGGAGTACGGTCACCTCTCTTCCAACGCATTTCAGATCCGCAACTAATCCTGACTTCTTTTAGATCATCGGATACATCACCATTGGCCTAGCCGCAATATCCGTGCCCCTCTACCTCTACCAGAAGAGACTCAGCTCCCGCCCAGATCTCACCTTTTACATGTACCGGCGCCTCAAATTCTTCAACGCCCTCGACTTCCTCGTCTGCCAAGCCATCCTGCTCATCTCGGGCTTCGCCCTCCCTGATGGCATCGACGACTTTGGCATCATGACGATTTGCGGCACAAACACGCTTTCTTCGTCGCTTCTCTTCTCTTTGGGAATGATTGTTTCGTTTGTGTGGAACTGCGCCATGGCTACGATGACGGTGCAGTGGCTTCTCGAACGGAGGGTTCGGGGTGGCAGTCTCCGGGATAGAGCGCCGCCGTGGATGCTCAAGATTTTGCGGAAACGGTCCAATTCGGATATGACGTTTCAGACTTTTCAAGAATCTCGCTGAGAATGGTAGACTTCTGGCGTCTTATGTTCTGGAGGTCGGCTTGAACTGGCGGTTACTTTATGGTAGAACATCGATAGATCATCTTTACCTCACATCACCTTCTCGAAAAAATGTGTGATTATCCGCATCGAAGACAGACATTAGCCCGCCCGGGGCCAATAGATGAAGATGTTTGTATGTACAAAAAGGCTTTGTATCATTTCCAGTACAAAGAGATAGAGCACTCAGCTCATGTCTAGTCTACCAGTTGAAGTACTTGGATCTCGGGAGCGGGGCATGATCCAGCTTGAAGTACCCAGGCTGCAACTTCTGGAAGACCTCCTTGGGATCATATTTCTCTGCGATGCTCTTGAGCTTGGCCTTGTTCTTCGCACCGTACCCACTGACAACATCCTGGAACTGCGCGGCGTAGTTCATGTAGATGTAGTCGTTCTCTACCCCCCGCGCCTTGGCTTCATCATTGATTCTTTCCATAACTGTTGAGGCAAAAGAGTAAATCTTGTCGTCGTCCTCTTCGTTGCTCCACATTATGGAGAGCAGAATGATGTAGAACGGGCCGTCTTCGACATTGAGACCCAGTGCATTGCCCCCGTTCTGCTGCATGTGCTTCAACATCGGAATGGTGATGCCCTGGAACACCAAAGTGGGAAGAATGCCGGGCAGATCCGTCACGGCAAGAACCTCCTCAAAGTAGATTTCCTGCGCGGCATCAACGAGTCCCTTGTCGGCCTTGCTGCTAATGACGGAATAAATCTCCCGCGGGCCCGGCGGTGAACCCTGTGCTCCTTCCGCAGCCCATTCAGCAATGATTCGGTTCTGCGTCGTGTCCGAAATGGCGGGGATAGCGTTCCATTCGGAGAAGATATCGGCTTCGCCGCCATCCGGCTCGGCATAATACAGCGTCGGGAGGGAGAACTTGGTGCCGTTGAAGTAGGCGTATACAAGCCATAGGCCTGCCTTGGGGTCCTTTTCCGCATTCGCAATGAAGTTGGTGTAAGCTCCAGAGAGCGCAGGGAACGAATCTTCGAGGTAGGTTCGGGAACCACCCCACATCTTGCCGCCTGGGAGCGAGATGGTCCGGAGGTTGAAGCTGACTACGAGACCAAAGTTGTTACCGCCGCCGCGCAGGGCCCAGTACAGGTCTGGGAACTGGGTGGCTGATGCTCGGATGATAGCGCCGGTAGCTGTGACGACCTGTCGATATCAGCTTATGCTCAGAGTCCTTCCCCGGCGAACTTACATCGTAGCTCTCGACATTATCACAAGCCCAGCCGTAGAGGTTAGAGAAGTAGGAGATGCCACCTGTGATTGCATTAGTTCATGCCGCTCTACGCTCAACGAGTTGTGCCAGGCGTATGCCGTAAGGAGACAGCGAGGATTCTTCCTCAGGTTCTCAAAAGACGTATGCTTGGCTTGGAGTGTCTTGATCGAAAACGTACCTCCAGTGGTTAGTCCTCCAACGCCAATGTCGTATATCCGACCACCGATGACATTCAGATCAGACCTTGTAAGCTCACGGTAGACGTCACCCCAGATATTGCCAGGTTGGATCGAAGCAATCTTCTTGTCGGCAGACAGCGCGATGCCCTTCATGTTCTGGAAAGAGATGGTGATACCGTCTTGAGCGCTGGACGCACCAGCCATTGCGGCGTGGCCCCCGCTCTTGGCAGCGAATGGGCACTGCGTGAGACGGGACAGCAGAACCACGACAGATACTTGCTCCGGCTTCAACGGTTTGAAGACACAATAAGGGCTGACCTGGGCTTGGTTCCCAGACCAGTATGAGCTGACGAACTCAGTGTACGCAAATTCATCCCTCGTCTCGACAACATCATCGCCATAGACAAACTTCAAAGTGCCACACTATGATAGAGAAGCAAACGTCAGTCACCTTGGTAGTGGTGTTGCGAAGGGTAGACGGCTCACCGCAGCGGAGCAGCCTATCTCCGACCTCTTATTGAAGCCATTTAGAGTCGGAAGCTCGGAAATGACAACGCCTAGCTCATGAAGTGCGTCTACAACATTGAAGTTGGCAGGCTCCGCCGGGCGGATGTCAGCTGCGAGGGCGTTAACAGCGTGGCTAGCTGCGAAGGTAGCCGCCGCAAAAAGCCTAGAACTTAGCATGACTTCGTTCAAACGTCGCGTCGGTGACTTGGAAGCAAATTTCAGCGTGAACCGGGGGTATCGATCGCAGGAAACAAAGTCATGAGTTTATTCAACGGGTCAAGCTGCGACTTTATAATCGGTTTAAGATCAAGCCATGAACAGCATGGAGGCAGCTCACGCTGACCGCAGAACCGCAATCTGTAATCTCACCCGCATGTACAATGCTGGTAAAGCCCATCCTTCGCTGCAAGGGACGCCTGCAGAAGTCCCATAGCCCTATCAAATCTGGCCTCGACCGAGAGTAAGCAGCCATGGACGAGGCATTGAGGCATTGCTCAACGGCTGGGCGCTGATGATGTCTCTTAGTTGATTGAGAATGGCAGAAGATCAGGCTGCGAGCCGTCCTACGTAAGCAGTAACATGAGCCATGTTTGGTGATATGTTCCTTCGCGTGCTTTTGCCTGTCGTTCGCAAAGAATCGTAGCATTGTCGTTGGTGGGTGGTCGAATCTTCGTTGGTGCTTCCGAACAGATTACAGAGTATCCATACCTCGGCTAACACATGCAGAGCCAAGATACATGGGGGCCTTTTCGCTATCACCCCATGTCGCTGCAGGTGTGATCGTGAAGAAGCATGAGTCCAAAAGCAGCCAGTTGACGAAGCAGAAAAAAATATGATTGTCATTGATACTGGCCAAAGCTACACTAGACGAAACTTGATCAGCTTGGTCCATTCTTGTAGATGAAATACGACTTATATCACAAGTCAGCCATCCATCAGTAAGAGAGAGGATTGGCGTGAGCGAGAAGCAAGCACTCCGGTCTCATAGATGCGCCAATTTTGTCAAGCACAAGGCTGACGAGGATGTGCGTAAGACCTCGCTTCTCTGTCGCTCGACACCCTTATACGTAATCGATAGGCCGTCACGGAGTCTCAGTCACTGAACTCAGCCCATACGAAGAAGTTGTGCAAGCAGTGTAGCAGGGCAGGCAGTGTAGCAAGGCAGGGGTTCGATAGTTGGTCAATCTAGCGAAGTTGGCTGGTATTTTCGACTTTGCGAGCATTTAGTATTCAAGCATATGCGTGAAGGTATCTGCTTACAAGGCCGCCAGAGCGCTGCTGTAAAACACAATACAAATGATGAGTTACGACTAGCCATCTGCCATAACTCAGTTCGCAGTACCATTCAGGAAGTCAGCGTATTCTGCTCGACATCAACCAAGCACATATGGTATCATCGACGTATGGTCGAAAGCATCAATGACCCTCGTCGTTCAGCTGAGAGAGCAGCATAACACTGCGATCGCGCTTGAGATAGAATGCAGATTTCCGAGTGGTGAAAAAGGGTGTTCGGTATTTCTCTCGAGAGTGAAGTTTCGCGGCGTACACGATCATCCTGTGGCTTTTATCAATAGTCGCTGGCTGAGAAGTATCGCCAGCTCAGTGAGGTGATGTCTCTCTATATGGAGACGGCAAGCCATCCGACATCAGTCATCGGAGATGTCGAAGCGGCGTGCCATCCCTTCGCCGGACCGAACATCGGAGAATCGATTGAACAGACAAACTCCACTCATAACTAGGACCTAATCATAACCTCACCTGGAACAGAGCCGGTGCACGTCTGGAACAAGCCAATGGCGGTGCAAGAATCCGGGGGAGGCGTTGAAATTGGGATCGCACTAAGGCATTCCAGCCTTCGTGGCCACGATCCGTGGGAATTCTCAACGTTGAACAGCCCCGACTCATTGGCAGCTGTCAGACGCGTTTCTTGTGACATAGAGGATGCACCGTCTGGAGACCATGGAATGGATCCCGCGTGATGCGCCCTACCCAACCTTCCTGGGTACTTGACCCCCTTCAACTTCGCACAAGGTGACGTTGGCGGTCAACATTGGGCGGGTCATGAGGCCAAGCATTGCCAGACGTGGCGGCGGAGTCGCACGGGACAGGCAGTTCTCTAGATGGTGATTGGCGTGGTGTTGAGGGCGGGATGGCGGAAGTTGTAAACGCGGTTGGGGTAGCGTGTCCCGCTTTAGGGAAGAATGCATCGATGGCGCTTCCAAGCTTATGAGGTTATTAGGATGTCTCTGCCAAAAGAAAAAAAAAAAAAACCAAAGTGGTGATCCGGCCAAGTGCCAGGTGACGCCATGCTGGACCCAGATCCAGCCGGGCCAGTTCACTCTGCATGGAGGCGCAGAAACTATGGAGAGCTTCCCCGCCCTGGGCCGGGGCTAGTTGCTTGAACGGTGAGCTTTTGATCTCGTGGAGGCCTGAGGGTGGTCTGTGAAGATGGTGAAAGATTGAATATATCGACGACGGTATAAAGAGAGGCTCTATTCTTGAGGCTTGTGTTCGAAGTTGTGAGCAAATCGACAGTGTCTTCGTGTATGCATCGACCAGGAACCAAGACAGCTTTCCCAGCAGCTTCCCCGGATCATCAGTGACGGCTGCCAGGTTGCAAAGACAGGAACAAGAGGAAAAAGGGGGCCGAAAACAGAGGTGATCCCTGTCATCGCATCGCTGATCGTCGATTTACAGTGCCCCTTGTGGTGCTGATTCGGGTGCCGTGGACCCATCTGGATTGCGTGCAAGTTGGGCCTCAGCGCGGGTTCCTCCACTGCGAGCGTGGCCGATGCGTCGTTGATCTGCAAGCCGGGCCAAAGAATCCAGCAATCGTCCATCCCGCAGGCTGGGCATCTGGGCATCTAGGCACAAGCGGGAAAGGGCGTCGTGACATAGTCTCCGAGAGGTAGACGGGCGGGCTTGGGCGGCACGGCGGCACGCTCGGGCGGTTGAGCGGATTGAAATCGGACTGAAAACCAAGGGACTCCGACCAATATTGGGCGGCTCTGCATCTCTCGGCGCATCAGAAATCGCAAAAACGAGGATCCGGGCAAACAAGCCGGGATAGCAGCAGCGGAAAGACGTGGGAAGCTTTGGGGTCTGGTGGTTCGAGTGTTTCCCCTCGCATCGACTTGCCCAGCAGAACAGGGTGGATGCCTTCACGGCGACAAGCTTGAGGTACGTGTTTCTGATTTTCTAGGTGTCTCTAAGGTGTATCGTAGTGTATCGCAGCGTATCGCATGGTTGGGGAGGGCGGCATTTGCAGGCAATCCCGCAACTGTCATCGGGGAGAGTTTGAGAGTTGTGAAAGGTGAGGCGAGGCGAGGGACAGTCGACGAATGGGAGGCCGTGGAAGCTGAAGCTCTGCCCAAGTTTTTGCTCATGCTAACCGAGGAAGGGAGGGGCCGACCAGACATCGAGACGTGGTTTCAAACAAGTCACCAATACTTGGGTTTGGTGCTGTCGCGATACGGAGATCCGAGTATTCGTCCCTCGTTCCGGGTTACTTGCTGTTGTGTTGTGAGGTGGTCTCTACGTTGCACCTCACAGGCTCACAGATAGTGTACTGTGTGTGTGTGTAGAGGTTGCCAGATCCACTCACGGACAGGCTCTGACTGAGCAAGAGCACATGGTTTTGCAGGAGACATCGGACACCGGACTTTCAACAAATCACCAATTGAGAGCCAGTGAGAGCGTGTGCACACTCACCTGGCAAGTCGGCAAGCGTGCATTCAAGACCATTTGAGAACAGACTTCATCTCAGGCGCACTTGCATCTCTTCTTTTTCATTCCTCTTCCTCTTTCCTGCATCCTGCGTTTGCCTTGGCATTTGTTTTTGCACTTTTCCTTCCCTTCTCACCTGCAGAAATCTGGAAGGAGAGACCAAAAAGATTAGAGACGAGAGACGAGACCAGACCAAGGGGTACGTACCCTTGTCGTCCTTTCCTTTCCCCCTTCCCCCTTCCTCCCCTTCCCGTCCTCCACTGCTCCTTCCTGCCCGCTGCCCACTGCCCAGTCATGCCAGTCACTACAGTCTCCAGGTCGGTAGTGGCTCCACTGCGGCACCTGCCTGCTCCTGCACTTGCACTTGCACTTGCACTTGCACTTGCGACTTCCAGGTTGAGGTGAGGTGCTCTGCCGGCTTGCCCTGTTGTCCCAGCTGCTTCGGAAGGAAACCCCCCTGCTCCTGCCTGCCCTTGCTCTTCCCTTACGTCAGGGGCCGCCTCACCCAGTCAGGGAAGGAAGGGACCTGCGTACCTGCGTCACGGACAGCGCATCCCAAGCAGAGGAAACACACAGTCGCAGTCACGCAGATTTGCACTTGCACTTGCACTCACTCGCTCTTGCTTGGACGGGGGCTAGAAACGTCCCATCCTGGGGCATTGAGAAACGCGACACACTTTCGAACCCTCTTCCACGGCTTCAATGCAACCCTTCTCTTCTTCTTTTCCAACCTTCCTCTTCCCTTCCTCTCCTGCTACCTGTCTGCATCTCTCCACCACCCGGCAGCTTCACATTGCCAATCACCACTACTTGCTGCCACGCGATCCATACAACCCACCGTATTACCTGCCCGCCGCCGCTCTGACATTGTTCCAGACCCCTCCAGATCATCATCTGTACCCCGATTCGCTGTCTTGACGCAACATCCTACCAAGTACACTACCACCATCCTACGACGAGACGGAAAGAAAAAATAGGGTCAATAAAGGGAGAGCTTCAGCTTAGCTCCCACACCACCCACTTTGTTCCTCCCCCCCTTTAAACGCGACGAATTATCGGCGGTTCAAAAATACCCGACGAAACAGGACCCCCAAAACTTCGGGAAGAACAGCACACATCGCACGAATTTAACATCTGTCTACTCATCTTACCGCCGCCAACTGCTATTTCCCACGTTTTGACGACCTCAATCCCTTTCGCATCAGCCACAATGGCTCTCCTCGACGCTGCTGCGCCGCCGGCGGGGGCCCGACACTTTTCGGCATGTCCATGAAGCAACTCTCCCTCATCACGGTACGCTCTAATCGGCTGTTCGCACCAAGCCTCGCGCAAAGGCTCCCCTCTGTATCGGCGAATACTGACAATGGCCTTGCTTTGTAGCTCACTTTCCAAAACTCGGCATTGATTCTGGTAAGCCTTCTTGTCGCTGCGATCTCTAGAAACCAGCGCTGATTGACTTGGCCGTGGTAGATCATGCACTACTCCCGCATCATGCCTCCTGTGGGCGATCACCGATACTTCACATCCACCGCAGTCTTCCTCAATGAGGTGATCAAGCTGTCCATTTGCTTGACCTGCTCCATTGCAGAGGTTTCGCGCACATTGGCACCGTCCACGCCCGCCACAGTAATTTTCGAGCAGATCTTCAACTCCGTTTTCTCGGGCGATGGCTGGAAGCTCGCAATTCCAGCGACACTATACACGCTACAAAATACACTGCAATACGTGGCTGTTGGAAATCTTGATGCTGTTCACTTCCAAGTGCTATACCAACTCAAGGTACGTAGTCATGGACTGATTACCCCCTCTCCAGAGGATCTACCGAAATTAATAGTGTCCTCGTCGCAGATTCTTACGACCGCCGTCTTCTCCGTTACGATGCTTCGCCGCGCGCTCGGTATGAAGCGCTGGATCTCTTTGATCATCCTGACCTTGGGCGTATCTATCGTCTCACTTCCCCAACCTTCGTCCGCAAGCCACGCCGAATCGACGTCCGCCAGTATCCTCCTGCACGACACCACAGACCATTTCTTTCCTCGCTCCGTGCACGAGCTTGGTCAAGCTGCCGAGGGTGCGGCGGAGGTGGCCCGTGAGCTCACCAAGCGCGCCGCGGACGGTCTTGCGGGCGTCGGCGGAGAAATCGTGAAGCGGTCGGCCTCGTATCAGGGTATCCAAGAGGACCAAGACCCGTCGCCGCTCATGAACTACTCGATTGGACTGACCGCCGTCCTCATCGCGGCCGTCGCCTCGGGTCTTGCCGGTGTTTACTTTGAGAAGATGCTCAAGGACTCGGGAACTCATGCCTCTGTGTGGACGCGCAACATCCAGCTATCGTTTTACTCGCTGTTCCCTGCTCTGGCAGGCGTTATCTTGATTGATGCTGAGGACATTGCCAAGCATGGTTTCTTTGATGGCTACAACTGGGTCGTATGGACCGCAATCGTATTCCAAGCTGTCGGCGGCGTGCTTGCGTCGTTGTGCATTAACTATGCCGACAACATTGCAAAGAATTTTGCTGCAAGTATCAGTATCGTTATCAGCTTTCTGTTCAGCGTTTGGTTCTTTAACTTTGAAGTCAATTTCTCCGTAAGTAAACTCCTGCAACCCGCCATGATTCTCAAGTCTGACAGTCTTAGTTTATCCTCGGTACTACTCTGGTTCTGGCCGCGACGTACATCTACAGCATTCCCGATCGCAAGGGCCGCCCGCCACCGATTACGATTGCGAGCTACGAGAAGGCAATGGTTGACCCGGCGTATACACCAGCCGTCACCGACGAAACCAAGCTTAACCTTGACCCGCTCGATGCGGTCCGCAGCATGGGACTTTCGACGTCTAGGCCATCGTCGCCTATGCTGCACCACCACCGAGCGCCATCAGCTAGGGGCAAGAACCGCGACGACTAATTCGCATCACATCGTCGCCTCAATGACGTCATTTTTAAATGTAGTAACATAAACTCGTTGACCGGAGTCAAGTTGGGGAGTCGGATGGGGGAGTACCATGACGAGCAACAAAAGGCTGGGTAATAAAAAGGATTGGAGGGGGGGGGGGGGCTCGTTTTTTGTGCACCTTTTTTTGTCTTCTCTTGGGTGGCATGCTCCGGAATATTTGGACATCGAGTCCTGGAATAGAGTCCGGCTTGCATGTGAGCAAACCACCCACACACCACACAGTATCATCAACAGCGATACCCGACTAGACCGCAAGGTCCAGGCAACGGTGCATTGTATATCTGAGGCCCCTGTTGGAGAGTCGAGAGCGCGAGTGTTTATATTGCAGAGACTAGTAGCTGCATGATGCGGACGAGCGGTACAGCGCTAGCCGTTCGGAGAATAAGAGATTCACATCGTTACGACTACGCTTTGCGTGAGTGCTTGGTGAAACGACCTGCGTAGTAGAGCAGCATACGACGAAAGCGAGATCGGTAAGACCATCTTAATACGCATCAGGCAAAGCTTCTTTCACGATGACAGCGAAGACATATCATCCGCACACATGAGACTACAGCGGTATTATTGTGCTATGCTGCCATTTGCATGTATGCATGGTCTCTAAGGTGCGCGTGTCAATTGCTGCTATACCATACCCTTGAAGCTCCTCGACAACTATTGACATCCCATCAGAAGCTCCCTACCAAAAACTGGCGTTCGATCACATACTTTCAACCACATTAGTCTAGACGGTTACCTCCCCTGTCACATAAGTCCCGGCAATCTCTTCACAACTTGCCCACACGAATATCTTCTCGCCCTTGGCTGCTCCAATAGAGAACACGAGTTCTTTACTCGGCATCAGGCTCTTGACTTTTCCCTTCCAGAAAAAGACCAGCCGGCCATCCGAGTTCTCAGCAGCCATCGTGACCCAAGGTGTCGTCTCTTTCCAGACTGGAGCCTCGCGATTCGAACAGCCTAGGATGGCGCGAACGATGACACCGTTGTCCGAGCCCTCGGAGCGTTTGGGTATGTCTACAGCAAGTACGAGGCGCGGAAAGTGTGCCAAGCTGCGTACAATCTTCTGACCAAAGGGCGGGTTCCGGGAGAGCACCCTCTCGATGTGAAAGAAGTCCATCTCAGCAAGCCGACGTACGGTCCTGACACCGTGCTCAACAAGTGAGACCATCTTTTTCGGCCCAATATCGGGTACCTGAAGTAGCTCTGTCGTCAGTCCCTCCTAGCTTTTGGACACGACGGCACGCCAGGTCTCGAGGGAGCGCCTCAGACCGACGGCGTCTTTCCGACAACCCATGATGTCGGCGCAGGCGCGTAGAACCTGGCCCAGAATCTTTACGATGCAGGGTTTGTCCGATAGGAGCTTCTGACGGGCCTGGAGGGAGAGTCGGTCGCCGTAGTCGCCGCCTGAGGCCTCGCACTGGGCGACGAGGAAGACCTTGTGCCAGGGCTTGGTCAGAGTCTCTTTCAAGGGCCAGCGGGTGGAGGGGTCGTTGTTGATGTGGGAGAAGGCAACTTTTTCCAGGGGATTGAAGGTGAAGGAGAGGAATTCTGTTGCGGAAGAGGCACAACGGAGGATCTCTTCGGGAGGCGGGCCGCGTGGAAGAGAAGCAAGTGCTCGGATTGTCGGAGAGGATAGGGCGTGACGGATCATTATTGCGTGGTGCTCTGGTGAGAGATCTGCTGTTGTTTTGAGATTCTTTGAGGCCTGTATGCTTTGCGAGGGTCGAGAAGCTGGTCTTGAGGCTAGAGGCTGAGAATTAGGGCCCTTGGAGGACGTTGGATTATGGGTAAGGAGGGGAGGCATTCTGAACGCTTTGGTGCTTGCTAATGCAGCTCGGCACGCTTGAGTTTGCTATGGGAGAAGAGTCGAAACCGATGCTAGGAGATTACACTGAGGTGAGGAGATGGAGGGAGAGGGAAGAGTTTAAAGGCACCTGACCAAGCCCTTCATCCCGAGACGATCCTGGAGAGGCATCTAGCATCCCTCCTTCCTCGGGCATTTGAGGCTCTGTAGCTGCCCAGGCACCTAGGTAGGTACCAAAGACTTATGGTGATGGTGAGGCAGGTGTGTTTCATGCTTGCTCAAGTCTGCTCTTACCACTCTCAAGCTGCCTTCTCACGTGGTACTTTAGATACCTACCTACAGTACCTTAGGCAAGGTAGCACCTGCCTCGAGGACCACATTACACACGAGGAGTGTTACTTCCTTCCACACCGAAGACGAGTCTCGCAATGCGGCTGATTCGAACCAAAATGACGGAAGAAGCAAGTTGTCAGCCTCTCACGGGGTAACACGATGCCCGCTTACACTTTAGCACAGCATATTGTTAACATTCGTCCGCCAGAGCCTTGCTTACCTACCCTCCCCAACCTATCTTACACCAAAGGTATACTACGATGCAAGTAAGCAAGGTAGCACAACACTTCCTTCCATGCACTTGCTGCTCAGGTGCAAAGTAAGGTAAGCGCCAAAGACTCTGGTGGGGAAACGGAACTGGCCGGGGCTCAGCCGGCACTTGCGATCTGCGGCCCGGGTTGACGCCGGCAGTCCCCGCAGTGGGAGTGGATCCTCAGCAAGGTACCGATACCTTAGCCGTAATCCTGCACTAACACTCACCTAAAGTTCTGCACCTTATTCAGCTCTCCCTTGCACAGCTGAACTACGCTCTGACTGGCTCGACTGGCGTGACGTGACTGGTTCGGTGACTTGTTTCCTATGAGGAAAGAATCGTCAGTTACCTTAGGCTATTTGTCTGGCCCCGAGTCTCGCACCCAAATGTCGAGTGACGAAGCTTTACCTCGCACATTCAAGGTTTTGTGAGACGGGGGAATGACGTCGAGTGACACATGCACCAAGATAGTGGACCCGAGTGAGACAGGGCGCGTTCGTGCAACGGCATGTAAGTCAACAAACGCGACGCCACGACAAACGCTCCGGGGACCTTCCAACCTCCAGGAAAGGTTTTCTTGATCTGACGTCTCGCCTCCCATCGACTCTTCTGACTTGTGCCACATTTCTGTCTCCAGATCGTTTACCAAGGTACACGTCCCCTGGACAAGAACACCTGGTCACGGCATGTGGGTGGCACCCGCTGCGCCCCAGTCCCGCGCCTAGGTATCTAGAGCTCTTATCTTATCGGTACCTTGGTCGTCATCTGGTCGCTTTCGCATTAGGTTGTTTATCACTGCTTCCACTGCTTCAACTCCGGCTCTTTAGTTCTTGATCTAAGTACCTTTCGCACCTCGCAGACCTTGAAGTACGGCATTCAAGCCGCCAGTGACAACTTGAATACACGATTCTTTGGTCTCTCCAGGTCAAGGCACCTTCTCTACCCCGCGGCTTACTCAGGAAAGCCCATGATGGATTCGTGATGGAGAAGTGGGTTGTCCGACGTGAAGAGGGGTACCATTAAGTACGAATGCCGGCCCAATTGGGACAGCTCTGGCCCCCCGTCACGCAATCATATTGGCCTTCGGACGACAGCTGCATCGCCATGTCTTGGCCTTCTCTGTTCTGATAGGACCAGCCAAAGCTGCCGGCGATAAGACAACTGGTCCCAGGAAGGTTGCATTGCATGGCTGCCTCTTCAAGGCTGAGCAACAACACCAACTGCCCTGGCGCATACAGACAGACAACTGGATCCAATACCCAAACTTGGAAACCTGCACTTGCCTCATTCTCAACCCGGCGTTTTCACCAAGTCTCATAGTGATACACGGCAGGCAACAGAAAGGCAGGCAGACACCAGGCCACCTTTCCTCACCTTCCTCCACTTAACTCCTCACCGAGCTGTTGCCCATAAGAGGCCATCCTCCCCGACGTCCCCCATGCCTTCTTACTTCTCGTCTTCTCTCATCCTCTCTCAACCTCTAACATTCCACACTTCTTCTCTTGACATCCTCTAAACTTCAACTCCACACCCTCTACCAGAGTCTTTTCGCCAGGACATTCACTGACTATCCCGTCTTCCAACATCAACTTTGTTACTACCTAGTCATTCATAATGGCCGATCACATGTGCTACGTCGTGCCTCCCCACCTGCTCAAGGCCATCGCCGACGCCGAGTGCAACAGCGAGCACACGCGTCATGCCGCGAGACAGGCTTTGAACCTCCGCGAGCAGTTCACCACCCGCCGTGCCGAGCGCCTCGCCATCCTTGGTGGTCCCCGCGCCCAGCGTCACCAGCTCTCTTCCCACTCCCGCCCTTCCATCGTCCCTGATATCTTGCTCCAGCACATTGCCGATTCAACGGATGTCGACGACGACACCAGAGCCTGCGCCAAGAGGGATCTTGACCACATAAGAGGTGTTCAACAAAAGGTTCAACAGGTCCAGCAGGGCGAAGTCGGGGGTCCACAGGACCAGGTCACCCTTGCTGCCACTGCCGGCAAGAAGGATCCCAAGGATGATAAGTTCTACCGCGCCATCTATGACGCCAAGAACACCGAGAACGAGAGCAAGCTGCCTGGTGACGTGGTTCGCGTAGAGGGCCAGAAAGCCGTCGACGACAAGGCGGTCAACAATGCGTTTGACAATGTTGGCGAGGTACTGAAGATGTACAAGGAGAAGTTCAACTGGATTTCTATCGACAACAAGAACATGCATGTCATCAGTTCCGTCCATTTCGGTCAGAAGTACGAGAACGCATGTAAGTACTTTCGTCCTTCCGCGTGTTTTTGGAACTTTTAGGGATACACTAACAGCAAACGATAGTCTGGGACCCAGAGCGTATGCAGATGGTGTTCGGAGACGGCGGAGAGTTCCTGAGTAACTTCACTGGTACCATCGACGTCATCGGCCACGAACTCACCCACGCTGTGACTGAGCACACCAGTCCTCTGGACTACCAGGGAATGAGCGGAGCTCTCAATGAGCACGTTTCCGACGTTTTCGGCATCATTGTGAAGCAGATTGTCGAAAAGGAGGATGCCGGTTAGTTGAAGATGCCCATCATGGCGTTGAAATTACTGACAATCTGTATAGAGAATGCCGACTGGCTCATTGGCGAAGGCTGCATCATGCCCGGTGTCAAGGGCGTTGCTCTCCGCAGCATGAAAGAGCCCGGCACTGCCTACGATGACCCGCGATTCGGAAAGGATCCTCAGCCAGCCCATTTCAAGGACTACGTTCCTACTTTCGAGGACAACGGTGGTGTCCACATTTACTCGGGCATTCCGAACAAGGCTTTCTATCTTGCGGCGAAGGGCTTTGGTGGTTTCTCGTACGAGAAGGCCGGTCCCATCTGGTGGAAGACCATGAACTCGGGCCGTGTTCCTCCCAAGTGCACGTTCATCCAGTTTGCCGATGTGACCACGGAGATCGCGGAGGAACTGTATGGAGATGAGGCAGGCAAGATCGTGAGGGATGCCTGGAACGAGGTGGGCGTGACCAGAAAGGGCAATTAGGAACCAAAGCTGCCGGCTGGCTGCAAGCCCATGTAGTGGGATGTTGGGGACAGTTCTTCCAGTCTTTCCAATGAGTAACCCACGAGTATGTCTACGTAGGAACAAAGTCACCTAGAACCTAGCAAAATCGTTTTCTCGCTCCGCTGCACCAAGTTGTTCGACTCCCATGATTCCCTCGGTGATTCGATCGAACCAAGCCACAAATGCCATCTCATGTTTGAGGAATAACTCTCATGTCGCGGAGTAGATTGATCATCTCGCCCCTGTGTCAGTTGTCGCCAACGAGGCAGGCATATATTTCGTGGCTGTCACCTTCACATTGCATCTGGACATTTAGAGTGTGTTGAAACCGGCAACTTATATCTACAGAACCAGGTGGCCAAGGGCCTTGTCTGATGCCTTGAGAGAGAAAAGTATTTACATGAATTCCGTACTTCTTCCTAGTACTTTCCAGCCGGGGACGCAAACATCCCACGGCCGGCAGCGCTGAATGCAGCAATTCTCACACCACTATTAAGGACAACTAATAACTTAGAAAGAAAGGGTCTGGCCGGCGGAGGCGACGACGGAGGCCTTGACCTTGGCAGAGCCAAGCTTGGAGTAGGAGTAGTCGGGCTTGGAGAAGGTGCCGGCAGGGGCGTCGTTGGTGGAGCCACCGAGGTCGACGTCGGAGACGGTAGCGTAGCCGGTGGTCTTGGAGTCGAGGAAGGTGATGGCCTTCTTGACGGAGGAGAAGACGGAGGACTCGACGAGGACCTGGGCGCCCATGCGGGTGTTGACACCGGAGGTCTCAATGTTCTCCTCGTAGTTGTTGAAGATGTGGACGTTTCCGAAGCGGACGGAGGGGACACGGGAGCCAATGTTCTTCCAGTAGTTGTTGGCGTAGGTGACGTAGAGCTTGCCAGTGTCCTCGGCCGAGTTGGAGTCGGAGTGGCCGACGAGGGAGCCCTTGTAGTGGTCGTGGAGGTAGGTGTTGGAGACGGTCACGGCCATGGAGGCGTGGGTGATGTCGAGGAGACCGTCGTAGTAGTCCTTGCCGTTGTCACGGTCGGAGGAGAGCTCGCAGTGGTCGACCCAGACCTTGGAGGAGGCCTGGATGCCGATGGCGTCGCCGTTGTCCGCGAGGACCTTGCTGATCTTCATGTTGCGGACGATGACGTTCTCCTGCTTGTTGATGTACAAACCGACACCGGTGAGGGAGGAGCCCTTGGCACCGATGATGGACTTGTTGGAGCCGACCTTGACCTTGGTGGCGCCGGTGATGGCGCCCTTGACGACGATGACGGCCTTGTCGGAGGAGGTGGCGGCAGCGGTGAACTGGGCCAGGGTGGAGACGGTGGTGGTGGTACCGCCGGAGCCACCGGTGGTGCCGGCGCCGTAGCCGACGTCGCAGGCGTCAGTGATGGTGGCGCGCTTCTCGACGGCACGGGGGTCGACAGCGTTACCGCCGACGACGGTGGGGGTCGGGGTGGCGTTGGCCAGAGCAGCCAGGACGGCGATGGAGGAGGCGAGAGAGAACTTCATCTTGACTTCTTTTCGTGAATAAGCTGGAGGTGCTAGTTGTGTGGTTGATTGATAGTGGTTTGTAAGAGAGAATGGGGTTGACGATCTACGTCGAACGAAGGTATTGACAGTGAGGTTACTGAGAGAACGAATGCAAAGAGCGCGAAAGAGCTGAAGGACTGAAGAAGTTGGAAGTGAAGCGGGATGAAGATCGGAAGGGTAAGTGAGTATGAGGCCGGAGGAGGATGGTTCTTAAGTATTCAGAGCCAAGACATCTCTTGGCTAAGCTTCTGTTGCCAAGGGCCAAGACCCTTTCCTTTGGGCTCTTCTGGAGAAACTCGAGCAGCCCTTGTCCTGCAGTACTGCAGTACTGTTCATCTCTTCCTTCTCTGGTCCAGGTCTAGGAGACTCCTGGAGGGGGTGATGGCTTGCGTACGCGTGCGCATCTTGGCATATCCCTGGTCTTGGCGAGGATCATGGTGGTATCAGAGGCTACGAGCGGGACCCAGGCCGAAGAGTAAGGTAAGGTAGGAGGAGGCTCTCGACGCTTTGGGGCTTGGCACTTGCGTGGTGCCTTGCCTGGGCCTGGACAGACTGGGCCACATGTTGGGAGGTCCTTGGCGGAGGGAGAGAGAGAGAGAGTCGTGATGGGTGCATTCGTGGGTGGAGAAACATCTAGAGAGGGGGAGGGGTGTACGTGTGTGTGGGCTTTACACCAAGGTGGGATATAGAGACTACGGGATAGAGTACATTCATTGATCACGCTGCTCATCGCGTCAGGCGCAGGGATGATGGAGAAGGTTGGCGGTACGAAATACACTACGGATACATAGGGCGGGAAAGGGACAAAACACGACAGAGCTTGTAGTATATTGGACATCAACCTGAAAAGGAAGCAGTGGGCAGAGTAAAAGACCCAAAAAGGTACATGCCGGTTGCTACATAGCAGCATGAAGCACGGGCGGCCCATTGTCACGGTGGCAGTGAAGCGGTACCCGGGTGCCCGCGATCTCGAACTTGGAAATCGCACGAATAGACGGGACGGAAAGCCTAAAGAGGTCGACCATGTGGTGTCACTGGTGTGCCTGGTGGTGGGTGTGGCACGAGCTGAGAGATGGTGGTTCGTTTGTTTAGGGGAAACGCAGGCCAGGAGGTGTTTGGTCGATATTCCGCCAAGACACGAACTAAGCCAGTAAGAGCGAGTTGACGTTTGGAAACGAGCCAGGGTATATAGAGGGATGTGGGCTTCGAAATGAAGCCAGGGGATGATTGATGGGATGAAAAAAAAAAAGAGACGAAGGCGGACGACATGTCGCAGGGGTGGTGTGGAGAAGAAGAGAACATGGAGCCATGATGGAGGGAGTCCGAGAATATGGGATGGGGTTGTAGGTATCATTGTGAGAAGGGTACTCCGTAGACTAGAAGGACTTCGATGATGATTCCTTCTCTTCTGTATGATCCAGTGATCCACGGATACCTCTTCGGCTCTTCCTGTTCACGGATCAGAGTACGGCAAAAGGGGTGAAGAGAAGGAGGACGGGGGGCCACTGGGCATCGGATCAGGCCCAGTACCATGGGTGGAGTTGTCAACCATCGGAAGAGCCTCAACACTGGTTCCCCGGAGACGACGTCAGTTACCCGGGTCCAGGGCATCAAGTCAGTATTTTCGGACAAAAGCAGAAGAAGAAAGCGCACTCGAGGCCTTCGTACGGAGTAGATGGGTCCCTTCAATTACGGCAGTCGCTCAATAGTGTGGGATGAGCAAGTTTGGGTCCGAAAGGGGGGATGGAGGCAGAAAAAAAAGGATACAGAGAAGGAAAAAAACGTGAATAGGTGGGCAGAATTTCAGGACTTGCCCCCCATATTCTGCAGGTTTGCGGGCGCGGTTACCCTTTTTTCCTCCTAGGTTTTTCCCAGACGAATTCACCGACGGAGTTGAACAATCGTCAACTCCCACTTACCGCAGGGTCCAGTTGTTTAATCGATTTGGTGTGTTCCGGGAATGGACAGAAGGAGACCGTAAGACGAGGGCGCTAGCTGGAATGAGGAAGTCATGTCGTCTGTTGTCAAGGGCTTGAAGGCGCCAGGGGAGGGGGCGTGTGGTCGTTTACGTTGGTTCCCTTTTTCGTCCAGTCGTTCCCATGTTCGGAGGCAGACCCGTCAACCGGAGGCCGGAGGATCATGGGATGGGTTCATCGTCTACGCAAATGGGACACTGGAGAGAGAGAGAGAGAGCAAATTCTGGGTCGTTGTCGTTGTCGTTGGGTCGGCGGCTCGGGGGTCAACCGACCGGGGAGGGGAGCATGTTCAGGGATACCGAACGGGAATGGCTCGAGTGGGGTTCATGGTCCCGGCGTATATTAAATTTAAAATCAGGTAGAGTTGTGGGGGCAAGGATCTGTCTCAGATAAGGTATTTCTCCGTCACCTAGCGTCAACTCGTGGCGAGCTTGACTCTTCACTTCAGTATTGACTGCTGATTCTTGAGTGTTGTTGTTACGCGGAAGCTCTCACGACAGCTGACAGAGTCATGCTGGTGGCGCTTCACAACTAGCCAACTCCCTGATAGCTTCACAAGGCTTTACGCCGGTACTATCTGAACACCAAAAGCACTTCAGCCAACACATGACAGATGGAAGCTCGTCCCTGCGTCTTATGCCCGGGCCATCTCAGAAGCTTCAGGTTCAGGTTGTCGCACCAGTCAGCACGCCTCTCTGTCTCTCTACTCTGCATAGTCTGCGGCGAGGATGCGTGGGATATGCAGGCTGTCACTCCCGTCATTCAACTGCCAGATTGTCAGTCAACCCTGCCCGCCGGAGCGTGGCGCTTATTGTCCGCAGCAGCCCGCATTTACGCAAGCACTGCAAGCAAGGCCTACGGAATGCCCAGTTGGGATACACTCCCCCCGCTTCCTTTTTCTGCCTGCCACGCCTGCTCAGCAGTGCCAGCAGTCAGGCCAGCAGTTTTGTGACTTGTCGTCAGTGGTCATAGCAGACTACTCCGTACTGAGAGTCGGAGACATGCAGGTTCTTTCTCCCTAAATCAACCAGATCGTGGAGAACACAGTGGAGCTCTTCACGGGATTACAGGAGATTTTTCTTTGCTCCTCCCCCCTTTTCACCCCCTTCTTGGATGCTGCCAGGTCAACTGATCTTGCTGGAGAAAAGAGCGCGGAGACCTGTCAGGTAGTGAACTGCCGGGTCTAACCTCCATAGAAGATGTCGGACTATGGGAAAGCTTTGATGTCGTGAACTATGTGTCGGAGCCGAAAACCAGAAACCCGGACTCGGTCCCCGGATCCTAATATCATAATTTGGGTTTACTATTCCTCTTGGTAGGTGCCTCAAACTGCTTCGATAGCTTACAGCTATGAATCAATAGCAATTGAGTTCAGCAAAGCCAGAGAAACACCAGCAACCACGTTTTTCTTGCTCCCTCTTCCCGGGTCTGGGCACTGGCCTTGTCGGACGCGCAGGCTACGGCTGGGGCCCTCGGTTTGCTTGGCGTGTTCCGCACCATTGGGGTGTACGCACCCCTATTTTCTATTGTCATTCGCCACGATTTGTTAATATGGCCAGCAGTCCTGTTTCAACCCCGAGTTGTTGGACATGGGCGGCGGCCCGGAGATTGGTGTAGGAAAGTCGCATATTGCACAATACTTTTATTGAGTACCAAGCCTTTTTGATTTCGAGAACGAACTCCAAAGGGAGGGAAGAGGTGCGTGGCCTGGGCTCTCTCCAAGTCTTGGGACTTTGGAAAGCGGCAGAGAAATGTCACCTCTATTTCTTGGCTTCCGCGAGGGCTGGATTTCTGATTCTGGAATGGGGTGTGACTACCATCGATCACTGATATCTGGAGTTTGACTTGCTGAGCATCCTATTGCGGCAGTCTAACAGCATACTGAAAGCCGTTCGTTCCGTTCTCCGATGCTTATTTTGACATTGCCGTTCATGATCTCTCGTCTTTGAAGCCGTCCGTTCCGTTTTCCCGATGTCGTCTTCTTCCTGGCGGCTACCTTAAATTTCTAGCGCCTCAAAACCTTGACTTTTCGACGTTTTGGCGCTGGAGCTGCCAATTTTGGAACGGAATGGAAGTCGTCGGCGCGTACCCGGATTGTTCCCTGAAATGGATTTCGCTGCTGCGGGCTCCCCCTGACAATGGACGGGGTCGAGGCGTGTGTCCATCTCGAAAGAAAGACGGGACCCCTTACGTCGGGAGGGTCTTCATAGCAGTCCCTCACCCTCGGATGGGCGCAACAGCACACGGACCCAGGTCGAGTTCGAACCCCACCGGCCGATCCTGACCGCTGAGCGAGGCGGCGTACTTCGGACGATGGACAGACAGATGTTCTCCGGGGAATCGGGGTGAAGTCTCTTGGTTACACTGAAGAGTGACAGGTAACCTGAAGTTGCTGTCTTTGGGCTGTTCACTGCTACAAGCCGGTGGGAGGTGGTTTCTCTCTACTGCATTGTTGGTAACTGCGCTCAGAGTCCACGAATAAGAATAAGGTCGCCAGAGTAGTCTAAAGCAGGGCAGATCATGGATATGCACTACTACGGACAAGAACAGGGCCACCAGTCAGAACATTGTATGTTGACGTAGAGAGGTAGAGTGGTAGACTCGTTGGTGAAACTTGCGTAGATTGTTGCTAATTGGCGACTCAATGGAAACTCCCCACTCCCTCTGCGCTCCTTTACTCATCGTCTCCAGCAATCATTTGCGCTTCCATGCGTCGCCCTGGTCTCATGGTCTGAGCCCTGCACAATGTGACAATATATCTTTAACAGTGTCTGTATTCGTACCTCAATCTCTACGTAAGGTGGTAAAGTGACGAGGTAGAGGGTCAAAATTGCTGTGCTATCATTGACGGGAAACCCAAAACGTGTCTAATTAACTTCGTGCTCCCGTCCCCCCCTCTTTCTTGTACTTTGTAAGCCAAACCCACACCGATCAGCGCATTTGCCTTCTTTTAGGTGGGATTTCCAAGTCTCCAACAAATGGATTTCCACATCGCAATGGCAGTCTTCTGCGCAAAGTGTATCCGTAGATGCCATGTCGTCGTTCCCACCACTCACTCAGCCTTCTCACTGTAAATCGACAATGCCAAGAGACGTTGCCAAGACGGTTATCTCGGAGAGTTGGCAGTTTCCAACCCTGGGCTCCCAAGACTTTTCAAAGGGCTGTTCTTGGGAGAGC